CTTTGTGATACATGGTTGGATAGAGAATTTTAAGGCGAAAAAGATAGACTGAAGAAATGTACAGGGTGACATTTAAAAAAAAAAGTTGGGGTCACTTCCGGTCAAACAGGTGGTTGAAAAAAATTGTCGTTAGGTTCGTAAAGTGTGCTACCATTTATTATATATCCCCTGTGAATTTCAAAATTTTATCTCTTCAAATAAAAAAAACTACAGGCTGCTACATGTTTCCTGTGTCACCCGGTATAATATTCTTTGTGGTCGACCAACTTTGTGTCTTCTTGTATTTTTCCTTATATCACTAAGTCATACTCGTATGCATTGACGATAGCTTCAGTATCACTATCGCATATTTTGAAACGATCTTTCGTGCAGTAGTTCAGTTCTTGACAACACTTCTTGCAGCCTTGCAGCCCCAGAATCGAGTCGTTTGCATTGTTTAGTGTTGATTGAGAGGATTCGTTAAGACTTGCTGTATCGGAGTTTTGGTTTTCTCTGCTTCCGATATTTTCGCTTTCCATGAGAGATCGTCTAACATAAACCGGGCCTTCCACTAATAGGAAATCCCTGGATGCATCAGACTCTTCCAGTTTGCGTTTCACCTTGAGGATGTAAAAATGAAATTCAAGAACTTTTCCATTCTTTTTTCTATAGCATCACAATTCCAATATAGAACCTCATGAAGTTCCTTTATATAACGAGGAATTGACCTAACCAATTCAGTGATTAAGGTCGAAATATAGATGCTTCAGTTGTTGTCAAAACATTTTGCGCATTCGCCAATTACACACACTCAATATTGGAACTTTCTCGAAATAGTTATTTATGTACCAAAGACGAAACACTGGACTATGCCGAGGTGCATAATATATTTTTTTTACTCCTTACTCGGTAAGTACTTCATTTTGATACTGATTTGAGGGAGGAAAACACGTTCTACCTCCCTAGGGAGGTAAGTAAATATTTACCTCCCTAGGGAGGTAGAACGTGTTTTCCTCCCTCAAATCAGTATCAAAATGAAGTACTTACCGAGTAAGGAGTAGAAGAACATTTTTTTTAATCTAAGGGAACTGGAGTAGAAAAAATATAATACAAAACTCTTGAGGCAGTGTTCTTGACCAGTCTCGGACTATTTTGCAAGCCCTCGCTATCGCTCGGGCGCAAACAATGTCCTCGACTGGTAAGTATCACTTGCCTCCCTTGTAGTGTAAATAACTATTTGTCGACCTCAAACACTTATATCCACATTACGGTTCTATTCACACGTGAAATCTATCGGATTTCGTGAATAATCAATTTGACACCAGCAAATGACAGTTGCTGTCAACTCACTCTCCGCACGGACCTGGGCTGCCAATTCGATTTGTATTTCATCAGTAAATACGTTGTCAAAAATTCAAATCTATTTTATTCTATACGAATTCCGAGAACAGATAATAAAATATACATTATGTACTTTTAGTAAACGAAAAAGTAAAATAGAAACATATAAAACAAACATTCTCAAACAAAAATAATGATATTCCTAATTCTCATTTCAAAAATACTCACAAATATCACAAAAAACAGTTACATATCTAAGATTTGAGTATATAGAAAACAGGAACGAATAGTAAAAATGAACAACAAAATACAGAAGGAACAAATACATCAAACTTAAGTAACAAACTGTTGCAACAGAGTTATATAAAAATTGTATATGATCTGAATCAGATGAATTATTGTTCTTTTTTGGTTTACACATATCATTACTATACCTGTATGTACAATTATTACTGATTTTGTCAATTTGAACAGAGCGAGCCGAAATATCGTGCAATTTATGAGTGTATGTGATGAACTAAAGATTGATAATAATATAGGAAATCATAATAATAAATAGGTATCAAAATATTTCTCAGTATATTATGATGTGTTTCAGTAGATCAGTAGATCAATATGCAATATGTAGAGGTCGACGAAAAATTTTTTCACCGTAATGGCTGAATCCCCATTGATACAAAAATATTATCTTTTTCGCAGTCATGATCACACTTTGAACAAATATTATCTGGATCTAGGAATTCTCAGGCCAATCGAAGAAAAATTCACCAAATTGGTGTCGACGAATTTTTTTTAAAATTGACAGTTGTTAGATGTGCTTGTGATACCCTGTAGCTTCATTTTGAAACGTTCATCAGGAGGTTTACAAGATTTTGAGGAATGTTCGAATTGTTAGTAATTGGCGAAGGCGCACATTTTTCAACACCTTATAATTTTCCGAGAGATAACATTATTTTCAAGAACAGAAATAAACTATAATTGGAAGCTAATGAAACGATAGATCTCAAATATAATGTATAAAACTTCCAGGAATTCCAAATTAGCAACTGTAATAATTGAATAGCCTAGATGAAAGAGAGCCCATCTTTAAAAAATTAGGAAATTTTTCACAAGAGTCAGGAACAGTAAAAGTAAAATTTAATAGTGCCGGTTTGTGGATTTTCTGTCCCAAAATGATTGAATTTCAAATTTACAATACTAGATTCACCTTAGATCTATCGCATATCGAACCACGACATGTTGGCTTTTGACACGGAACGTTGCTTTTCTCATTATCGATAGTATCAAACTCTGCTGGTTTAGGGCTGCTGAATATTTGTTGAGTATTCTCAGTCGGTTCTACTAGAGCCATATTTATCTGAGCAATGAACTTTTCTTCATCGTTTTCATTCACAACCTCGTTATCACTATTATTTTCATTATTCTCTCCTGGTATGACAATGTTTCGAGGAATGGATGATTTATTTTTATACTCAGTTTCGGCTTCATTTTCTGCTGTAACGGTAGTTTTGGGGGTCGTAGAACTATTATTACTTGTTTCTCTTATAACGTTTTTGCCAGATTCCAAAGATTTTTTTTCTCCATCGCTTTCTTTTATGACTTGACTCTGCAGATTCGAATTCTTCAGAGGTTTATGTCGGTTAACTGAACCATTCACAGATGTACGATTATTTTTTTGTTTCGATTTTAGTGTTTTACAAGTTGTTACGTTGCAAGAAATATCAGGTTTGATTGTGGAATTGTTTCTTTTATCCGGAATCATGATATAATTTTTTGGAATGTAATTATGACTGCGATGACCCTGGATGAGCTGAGTATGACTGGTACTGACATTTTCATGACGGATTCAATTGAAGTAATTTGGACAGGACCTATACGTAGGTAGGTGATTACTGAGTGTCCAATTCGGGGTCGCCAAAGCCATTAAATGACGTTTCGATGACATCAAAATTACGAGGAAACTTTCTAATTCTAGTCATAGATTGAAAGTAAGACTTGTGATTCTGTATTTTCTGATGTCATCAGAACGTCATCTAATGACCTTGACACCCTCGAAAAGAACAAAACCGGCATAGGTTAACGAATAATTTGTTTTCTGTGACGGAAAAAAAGATCGACATTTTTCATCTCTGTTGACAGGTTATGAAATGTCACTTTTCATAAATTCCTTTTTGCCCATTCGAAAATAAACCAATAACACCGTTTCCCAGAAAAAACTGCATGTCCTTTTATCTTCCATTTCACTTCTGACAGAAACTTGATTACTTCAAAAGAATGATGAAAATTCCTGCAAAAAGATGCCTGCAGCGCAGGAGTGATTCTTGTTAAGAGCATCAAATTTCGGGCGTAACTCGCTTTTGGGAACCCAGTTGTATTAATATACCTTTGTCGCTCGGGCTCTTACTTAGGTACATACACGCTATACGGTCCATAAAATCCTATCTTACCCCCTTGATACATGTATAAATAACTATTACGTTGCAGTTGCATTTCGAAAATAATTTGGCAGGTAGGATAACCTCTAGTTATTATTGCACCCTAGGGAGAAAATGATTGTGATTGTGATAAGGTATGGGCAATATGAAAATTAAAAGCAGAGTGTTCTTGAATCTTTCAACTGATTATTGTAAGAATAATTCATAATTCCAAGAAGTTCATCTGTATACCACGCCAATGCATAATTGTATCAAAGTATACGGGAGGCCTATCGAAAATAGTATTGCAATTGATGTAAAACCGCTCCGACAGGTCGATCTCTATTCAGCGAGAGACGCATTTTTCTGAAATTATCATATTTCAAAGTGGAAAGCTTGAAGCGTAACGGGCATCAACTTTCGATTTTCAAATGAAACACCCTGTATTTCATTGCATTTTTATATTCTCTCTGAAGAGCTGATTTCATCAATGTATCATTTGGGGTCTAACGGGAATGATTTCAACATTAGGATTTTTTTGTATCGAAACTAATTATTATCGGTCAAAACGGCTTTTATGTCCCTTTCTTAACTTTTGATTCACTATCACTGACATTTGATTGGGAAAAATACAGGGAGGTTCAAGATTAAGAAAGCCATTTAGAAAATGAATAGTTTCGACACAAAAAAATCCAAAAGTTGAAAAATCTCGAATTTGAAAACCCTATATTTTTGTAATGATTCCCGCTAGACCCCAAGTGTGATACATTAATGAAATCAGCTCTCCAGGGAGAATCTAAAGATGCAATGAAATACGTCAGTGTGTTCAATTTGAAAATCAAAAATCAAGGATTCACTTTGGGATATGATAATTGCAGAAAAATATGTCCCCCGCCAAATTTGGGTGGTACGTTTTCGATCGCCCACCCGGTATATTTAAAAGGTTAGAAAGGATTTCCCCAAATATATCCGGAAGTAATAGAAGTATGGCTCGATTGAATACATTCGATTACTTATTAAAAGTGAATTATTTTATTTCGTAGTCCACCCACGAATTTGCTATAATTTTATGTGTTTCCCCGTTTTTGCATGCCCCTCCTTTTTGTTTCGTTTCGAATTCGCCACATAGCAAAAACACTATTGTTTTCTCCCACCGCAATGAATAATAATCAGGATGCAAGTCAAGTTAGTTTCTTCGACAGCAGCGTGTGCGAATAATTCTCTAGTAAAAACCTCTCGAAAATGACTTTGGATTCAATTGTTTAGATTGCAAAACGATCAGCGTGCATTCAACGCAAGACAAGGATGTGAATTGGTGATGAGTAAAATATAATGTGAGTAATAATTATTAGAGTCAATAAAAACGTGAAATGGTATGTTTCATCGTTTAAAGGTATTGAAAAACAGTGTGTCAGGTGTTTGTCGGAATGTATGATAATAATTGCTTCATTATCTACTTAATAAAATATAGTGTGTGATTCGATTAATTTCTGGTTTGGATAGTTTAAAGTTGAGAAGTAAGTATCAATCACCTGACACGTTATTGATCCTTCCATAAATCGAAGTAGATATCATGTTCAAAATTATGGAATCATGAGATGTAGTAGTCGGTATACAGGTTGTCTCAGAGTTTCTTTAACATAAGCAAATACCTTTCTTGGTTATTTCAATGGATAGAAAGATGAGCCAGAAACTATTTTGAATAATTTCAACATGTTATCCAACCTTTGAAACCTTTTTTCTTTCGACGATCCTTGAGACAGGTATCACGCCTATTTTTTTTGAATAGCATTGTCCATTATTTTTCAACGAAATTCAATATCATACTTATTTCGAACATAATGATACCAATATTACCACCTATTATTTCAATACTATTTTTGCACTCAGAGCATTTTTCTGTTGAAGTGGAATTAACATCTCAATGAGAATTTTGTTGCCTGGAAATTGCATTGAGGAAGAATAAGGTTCCAAGCATGCAATAGAAAAGACTTTTTTCATGCAATTCAAAATTGTTTGATTTTATTTTTATAGTTGAAATCAACAAAGATATCGCTTGTTGAGATAATTTCAAGACAAATAGTTAAATGGCAAAACCAATCTAAAATCAATATCTGTCTGTCTGTCGTCTCGTCAGGTATTTCAATTCATTTCGAAACCTAGAAATCATTGAACTGAAGAGCACGGTGAAAACAAAAAATTCACAATGGAATACGATTTCATATCAACTTTGTTGAAACAGGATAAATCTGGAATCCAAAAGATTTCATATTGCAAATATTCCTTTTTTGTTACCTTAATTTTATTATGACCAAAAATCAATTTCACAAAGAATCCTGAATCTGACTGGGATAATAATTTGGGGTGAGTATCTCTCTCACCGCTCTTGATGATTTGTTATATTGTGAATTTCAATAATAATTGGAACAATTTCAGAAATAAAACTGATATACTCTGTATGACACGCAAAATCTAACTTTTGAGATGCATATTCAACACATACATAAAGATGAATACATATATGTAAGTATTTCATCTGGAAATAAGCTACTGTGTCAGCGAAACAAGTCGTGTGATTAAGAATCTTTTGGAAATCTTTGTGAAGTTTTTTACACCCATTATCATTACCGAGATTATTCCCATTTCTACTAATAAAATACCCATTTAAAGTTGTAATCGCCACAAGCCTACTCAGTATGTACTGCTAAAATTCCAGCATCATTTTCCTATAAAAAAGGTTCCTCCTCAAAGCTAGAATACTAATCCATTAGTTTTTCCACGCCAACGGAGATGAAGATAATATGACTTTGTTTTCATGAAGATTGCCGATTGTGTGATTATCACACGGTCTTTACAGTTCATTTAAAAGTACCATATTGGTAGAATGTTGGCAGGAACTGATGCTGGCTATACAGGGGCGATAATATCCTTATTTTTCTTGACGATGATGACTAGAGCAGTGTCCCAGTCATTGGAAAGTCCGTGTCCAGACATATTCAATTATCGCTACGATCGCCAAGGAAATTTGTACGGTGAAGTTCAAATAAAAGGTGCTCGCTCTGATACTCTCCAGCTGAACGTCGAATTATCAATCGGAAATATAATTGAGGTGAGTAAATCAAGAATGAGCTATGTGTAGCATTCTTTTTGTTTTCTTGAAAGATAATAGTGAATTGGTATTTTTAACACTAATTGATCAACTGAATCGATTCAAAATATCTCCCTCTATGTATGAAGATATAGAAGAAATTTCATTTTCTATGAGGCTATAAATATGAGTAGGAAATTCAGAGAATGCAGTTGGTGATCCTGGGTTTTCACAGAGTATTTCATTTTCAGATTGAAAACCTGTAACTGGGCATTTTATTTTCCCTATTGAAACTTTGATATATTTTCAACTCAGAATTCGAAATTTTGGTTTTCTCAACTTCAAGCTTGAAATTCTCTATTAATCAGTCAAACAGTTGGAAGTTGTAGTTGGAAGTTTCTGGTTTGAACTGAAAATGTGATTTTCCTTCATGATTATACTTGGAAATTCCGACTAAGTACACAATCGGAATTATATGTTTTCTTAGTTTGAAGGAGGAAATCCCTAGTTTGAAGTCAGAACATTTTAGAATAATTGTTTTTTCCATTCGTTCCATATTTAGATGCCATCATTTCCTATAAAGATCGGTTGAATAGGTAAATACTAACCAATTTCCTTCATAAATTCGGCCGATTTTCATTGTATCAATGCGGAATTACCAATTATCATAAAGATAACACCCACTATCATCTTCACTTTTCAAAACGGAAACTATTAATTAATAATTCAAGCACAATTAGATGGCCCAACGATTCGAGAACACAATAATTACAGAATCCACAATGAAAATGAAATTGACAGGTTGATTTTTTGTATGAAATTTGTTTGTTTTCGAATTGCGCGTCAGTGCATAACGAATATCTCCTGAACACATTCTTTTTGAGATTTCGCACCTCGAATGCATTTTTTTATGGAAGGTGATTTCACATTTTTTCACCATCATTAGTTGAAATATAAATCGCATAATTATTTGGCTATTCACCCATGGATATTTATATTTATGTACAGTGTCATTCATAAAGTCGGCATCATAATATGAGAAAAACTTTATATAATAATTTATTTTTAAATTTGACATTCTTTTGAAATATCGAAAATAGACTACTTGGTCGAGGCAATGACGGCTAAATATCTAATAATAGCCGGGATCGCACGAATTTCGCAAAATGCCAAAAGTTAAATGTTTCAAAATCAATCGCTGAAAATAGGTTCATTAGTTCGGATTTCAGAAAATTGAAAGTAATATTGAATTAAAATAAGAAATAATCTGATTTTTTACTTCACTGGTGACGTCGGTCTAACGATATCTGGTTGACAGTGCGTGAAGAGACCCAAAAAAGGTTAAAGCTAGAGGGAAGTAGTGAAGGGGGATCGCGCGACAACGCAAAAATTCACAAAATAGATTCTGATCGGTCTGAGAGACCGCAAATCACCACTGCATGGTTGAGCATATGGGTATTTTTTTCTGTATCAAACATAAATTAATTCTAATTATAGTATCCATAAGTGAATAGAGAGAATTTTACTAAAGAAACAAGTAAATATCTATTATTAACTAAACAATGAAAAGTTCATATCAACTTTTGACAATCGATGAATTTGAACCAGTTCTCATAATATTTGCATTTTGCTATACCTATGTAAGTGTGGAATTCCAACAGTGATGTAGCATGTAGGAATTAAAGGATAATATGATTCGAAACTTAGATACATGCATGGACATCAACTTATGAACTTTCCGATTCACAGCATGATTACAACGGAAACATCGAACTGACTCAACCAAAAGAACAAGTACTTCAAGACATGCTCAATTTCGAACCAGTAGTATACAAAGTACAATTCCCAATGTGGAGAGTAATCCCACCTAAAATCACGAAAATAAAAGTAGATGGGAGTTTAATATGTTCGGGACCCCCCCGGATTCCGAGTAAGTACAGCTATTAACAATCAATCATAATCGAATTACCATTCATGAGCAATAATCTCGATGGGTGGTAGATCACTAGCGAATAAAAACGTTGAGAGACAAAAAGGTTGCTCGGCTTCATTTGAATACAGTGAAATTATTGAAATCACCTTCGACTTGAGCACCAATACGTCATACAGCGTACAGCGAGTTTTTTGCATTACCATTATTTATTAAATACATCAATTAATATCCGGGAAATTATTATAGTGTGACACAGTGTTTGAACAATTTTCCTTGTGCGATGTACATCTCGATGACTTTTCTTTTAGCGAATTTAGTGCCAGTGATAACGACCGTGAATTTGTTCCACACTATCAAAGTGGACATCTCCCCCCTCATGTCCTTTACCAACTCACCCCCCGAAAACAGCATTTTCTACGAAGAAGAAGCTCCCAGTTCAGACAGCGACGGCGCAGTGAGGCGGGTGCAGGGAGGACAATTAGGAGGAAGGGGAAAGCCGCCCCCGCCCAAGAGAAACCGGTTCCGGTTCAATCCGGTCGCGCCCCCGGATCCGACCAAGATTTACAGGGGCAATCCGTTTTTGGGGACGCCGAGTGTGGACCATTATCGGCCGGGAGGGATTTTCGGACAGTTAGGTAATGTATATTTATTACGTAACCAGTTAGGAAACGCGTCATTTCTTGCGACAATGGGATTTTGCGGGAAAAAACGCAATATTCTCTTCGTACACCCATATTTTCATTACCACTGTAATTTTTCGATAATTGCATTGCTCTCATGAGAAATTTTATATATGAGGAAAATATTCATGAAAAGTAGTCGAATGTGAATCAATTGAATTTTTCGGTTTTGTGTCAAGCTTTCAAAGATGTAAAGCCTCATAAGTAAGGTAGGTGAATACTAGAGTCAATGGATGGTATTAGTTTGATAAGAGTTCGGACACAGATGAACTTTTGTCCTTTTCTATTTTCTATAATACAATGGTTTAAGTGAATAAAAGAATAAGACATATATTCTGCTCTTTGTCTTTTCAATTTCCCTAGTAGCGCCTGATTGTCAGATACGATTTTATAGGTTAGAATTTCTGTCAAATCAATCATAGCCGTAGATGGACAATGGATTTAGGGTACAAACACCCACTTCAATTCATATTATAGTGATACACTTCTAGCAGAACGACTGTTATATAAATGGAAAGAATGCATGTAACAACATTTTGATATTAGAAAATATACACATTTGGATAAACTTACAGCTATAATTCCTTATTGTATGTGAAACTGTACTCCAGGGTGATAAGTATAAAACATGAACTCATCATTATTAAATTGAAGGAAGGTATTTTCAGGAATATACAGAAAGTAACATAAGTACGTTCAAGTGAAGTATTCCTGAGACAATTTTAAGAAACAAAGTCTATATAAGCTTGTGTCCGGAAATGCTTTATTTATACAGATACAGGTTGTTGAAATACAGAGAACAAATCATGGTTCGATAAACATTCAAAAGTAGTTCATTAAATTAGAGACCTACCAAATACTTGGTTTTGTAAAGTTCTCAGCAACTTCACTTGCCGCCCTAGGAGCTATGTAACATGGATCGATATAGAAAATATCTCCAAACCGATAACCTCCAGCGTAATTGAGGCCCTTATGATAATTCCCTTGATACATAAATACCTATTCACTTTTCACTGTGGAGTTTTGAATTTGGTCGGCACCAAAAACGCCATATTCAATAATATTTCACGTTGTAGTTTACTTGCTTTTCTTAGTTTCGTTTTCAAATCTTCAATTTCATTATGTAATTTTGCGATCATTCCCTCTTTTTCCATGATTATTTTGGTTCAAGTTTCGTTTAGCTGAAATCAGTTATGGAAAATTTGTTGCTATGGCAACCATTGTCATGGTAACAGGTAAACAGAAAACAAAATCTCGTGGTGAGGAAATGCATGGTTGCCAAGTTGTATCGAGTTTAGTATAGCTGAAATCAGTTATGGAAAAACTGTTGCTATGACAACGATCGTCATGGTAAGGAGTAAACAAAAACCCAATTCCCGTGGTGAGGAAATGCGTGGTTGCCAAGTTGTATCGGGTTTAGCTTCACTGAAATCAGTTATGGAAAAACTATTGCCATTGTAACGAGTCAACAAAAATCATATTCCCGTATATTTGTGTCCCTTAAATTTGGACTTGCAATAAGGTTTTGCTGGCACCAAACATTGACTCAGAGCAAATTCATAACCCTATCTGATTTCTCGGAAGAGAAAGTTCGCCGAACGAAGACATTTTGAACTGACACTCTTGTGACATTTCTTAATCAATAAATGGAAAAATCAGGGCAATCTTCTACCCTCAAATTGTGTTTCACAAAAATTCTTGCTAGTATTCATACAATAACTTGATTCGAATGAATACCCTTCTTATCAATTTCTTGAAGACTGTTCGTCGTTGATTAATTCCCAAATTACTATTTCTCTGACAATCATAATAATATATGGAAATAACGTCAGGAAAAAATAGGCTTTATTATTGAACAAGGCTAGACAAAATAGCGAGCGACAAAATATTGCGAAACAAATAGCGCATAAGGCAGGATACTACTTTTTCTAAACAATCTAACCTAACTCGGCCTGAAATGAACCTTCTTAGAAAAAATATATTTTTCAAATTCAATCAGATTTGGTACCAAGGCATCATTCGTGTGTGTTTGAAGACTGCATTAAAAAGGACACTACTTTTTCCAAACAATCTAACCTGACTCGACTTAAATCAACCTTCTTCTTGAAAAACTTTTTTTTTTCAACATCGTTCAGATTTTGTAGCAAGGCATCGTTTGTGTATGTTTGAAGACTGTTGCTGAATCAAAATGTTCGCGTGAAGAAAGGTATGAGTGAATCGAAATGAAGGCAAATGGAAATGTGAATATTCCAAAATGACTCTGTTTCTTTTCGATTTTGTCGAATAGCTCGGCACGCGAAGGATAGTTACATTGAAGAATGTTTCTGAAATTAATGAATGAAGCAATATTTCTCCGATACAACTTGGCAATCACTCATTTCCTCACCACGGGAATAGGATTTTTGTTTACTCGTTACCATGACGATCGTTGCCATAGCAACAGTTTTTCCATAACTGATTTCAGCTAAACGAAACTTGAGCCATTATTTTGTTCTGAATTTTGTGTGATGATAATAATGTGATTTTGTTCTTGAAATCGTCTGCTTTGTAAATTGATGGAACAGCAGATTCTCTCACAACAGATTTTGAAATCTTCTGTTTGAAAATGGGCCTAAAATATAGTTTCATTTTGATCAGATAATGTTACAAGAAGTGAATTTTAATGTGTACCTCACGAATTTTGCTCTTCTTCAAATCGATTTTCCACCCAGGCCGTTTCATATCTTCCTTCCATAAGCGAATGGTTGATATTTGTTTTGGAAAATTGAATAAATAATATCCATTTTTTCAGAATTGGCACAATTCATTACACAGCAAGTGATTTCCATAACTGCTTTCCCCTCGAAAGTATAATTATGAAATTTTATTTCGATTCTGACGTTTATAAAATTTATTGTCAAATTCGAACCATTTTGAATGAAAAAGCGCGGGACGACTATGGTTCTCTTGTCACAATGCAAGGTGTGTAACTTATTAAATCTAAACATTGAAAAACCCTAACCGTTGTCATTTCTGTGTCCGAACTCTTATCAAAGTAATACCATCCAGTGACTCTAGTGAATACAATATGCGCATGTTTGCAATATGCACACGGGCCGTTTTTTGGTTGTTTTATAAACGATGGCAGCACATATCATACACACAGTTTTCTGTCAACCAACTGTCAGATTTTAGTCGGTTAGAAAGCAAGTTGCAAACGAAATCAGACTGGTGTCGCTAAAAATCATTTTTTTAAGACATACCGGTATAATATTTCGACGTTAAGTTTTTTATTATAGAGTTGTAAAAGACAGTGTTGATGAAATGCAATATTTTGTGTTCCATACATTGGTATTGAAACTTAGATTGTAGTGAAAAACAATCGATTTAGGGTAAAACTCATGGCGATATGTAATACATGGACTACAGTACCTAAACCTACGTCAGCACCTAAACCTACGTCAGCACCTAAAAGAAGTGTCAGATGAATGACATTTCTGATATGCGCCTTTGCATTACCTATCTGCCAAAAAGATGTTCATGAGGATTGTGTGGGTTAAATAACCAAGGAAATCAAAGACATTCTCGTTTGTTAATTTTGCTAATGATATTTGAAAATAATCATTTTTGGTATTTATTTGAACGTGAATAATTATTCCACAAGTATAACATCTTTTTCTGTTACTAATTTCAAACTTTTGCATGCATGGCCATATGGTCGTCACCGTGCAATATATATCTTTTTCAAACTGGATATATAAAACATATTACATATCAATTTTTCATGCTAACTATTTTTTATATGTTCTGAGCATTTTGAACTTGATCATGAAGTGATTGCCGTAACTCGTTTATCACAATTATCTTTTTAACAAAAAAAACTCGCCCTAGGTGGGCATACATGGTATTCACTTACCTTAAATGACTTTCTGATTGATTCAATTGGGATTTTAATTTGTGTTCCAGATGAAATGCCATATCGATTCAATCCGACCTCCACCCAACCTCCAATCCAAGAAGAAGAACAATCGGACTCTTCCTACGAAGTGTCCCACAGAAAAGACGACTTTTCCCCTGCGCATCCCGGAACCAACTTCTCGCCCCAGCAGATTGTCCCCAAAGACAACGTACCCCCCAACAAGAATAGGGGCCCGTACGGGGATATCTGCGGCCGGCCCATTCTGACGAATTCCCTGATCAGCAACGGGGATGCGGTGCCCAGAGGGGCCTTCCCCTGGCTGGGGGCCCTCTACAGAAGCAAACCCTCGGGGTTCCTGTATATCTGCAGCGCTTCCCTCATTTCGGATAGACACGTCGTTACAGGTGACTATACCGGGTGACACAGAGCATGGGAGCCCACGGAGCCCCCCTGAGAATCTTTCACTTCCAACATGTTTCAACTTTTGACCATTTCGTTTGTTGAAGTTCAATGAATTCTTATTGCTTTTAAAAACAATGCTACCAGTTACTATAATCAATGTAATGCACTACGGCTTCATCATGCTCTGGATTGAAGTGTGATGCCTTTTCGTACCTTCTTGACACGATGATTCTTCTTTTTTTAAGACAAGTCCTTCTTTTCAAGAGAAGATACAAGTATTTCTGGAAATAATGGAATTTTCAAATTTTAATAAACAATAATTCTGAACCTATTGAACATCTTTTTGATGAACTCTAGTGGCTTATTGATTTGCCTTCGTTGAATCTAGTTGCAGATTGCTCGAGAAATCTGATCGGCTTGATGCCACGGCAGTTGAATGCTGTAATTCAGGTTTCATTTTCGTTCGTTTCTATTGGCTTGTTAATTGATAAGTTCATGAAGATACTGCAGATCCAAAAAATCGATAATCTCTTAAAATACTTGTACTTTTTCTTTAATGAAATAAGAAATTGTGTCTAGAAGGGATCACACTTTAATCCAAAACATTGTGGTATAAGTTTAATTACTCACTCTCGCCACATGGTGTTAAAAAATTGAGCGTGAAATAGTAACTTTTGTTTTCTCTTTTTAATCAAGCCATCAGCTTTCCTTGAAAACCAAAATTTTTGATAACTTTTCGAAACATAAATTCACGATTTGTTCGGAATTTCACTAAATTCGGACAAGAATAAAAAAGTTTCTGGGCGAGCAATTTAGCTATTTTTTTGCTGGCCGGTTTTTTGTCTTGCCGGTGAGTGTATAAGAATTATGGCGATACAAAATTGAAATCGTCTAACGAATTGAAGACATTTTCAGCCGCTCACTGCGTGAAAAACCAAGACTCCAAAGTGCTCAAACCACAAGAACTCGTCGTCATCCTCGGGAAACTGAACCTGCAAAGATGGGGCAGATATGCGGAGGGTGAGAAGATGATCGAACCGGAGTCCGTTTCGGTCCACCCGGATCACAAAGATTCCAGCGCAGATGCGGATATTGCGGTTCTCGTACTCAGCGAAACCGTTCAATTCTCCAAATACGTGCTGCCCTTGTGTCTGTGGGTAGAGAACACGGATCTGCGTAACATTGTTGGTGAGTTACTTTTTGCACGACCGGGCGTTAAAAGTGACACTTTATCGCCCTGATCGGCGGCCGTAAAGTAACACTTTAGCGTCCTAGGGCAATGAAATGTACAGCAGATTTTCCAGTAATTTCTAGTAGACTATCATTCGATCTTTCTTCGCCAGTGGCAAAGGTACATAATTTTGCCAAATGAATTCGAAATCAATAATAAATTCCATATTGATAGTTAATAAATGTCTAAAACGATCGGCATGGAATGTTGTACGTATTTCGGACGAAACTTGCTTTTCTGGACCTATAGGCCACTTACACGCTGCGGTTCATGAAATCCTACTTTACGTCCTTGAATTATGAATATGATTATTATCTATAGATTTTCTTCAGTGAGTTACCCGCCTCTATCAAGACAAGAAAACGGAAATACAGAGAAAACAAGGCTCTATATCAAGTTCAAGATTTGTCAACTAAAAGTCTTTCAAATTAAGTTTTCAATTTGAAGAACACACGGATGCGAAGAAAAATTCAGTGGATCGCTGGATTGGCCTCATCAAAATAAGTTGAATTAATGCGTTGAAAGGAAAATCGATTGAAATAATAGGAAATATTATTTCCTAATCTTTATTGATATGTCGAATTATTGGACCTAAAACTATTTCAGAAATAAAGCAACGAATCAAATTTTTATTTAAGCCACCCTGTTCGATTTAATTTCATGAAAATGACTCAGAAATAATATCTTGTAAATGGCGCTATAATTATTTTTATTCACGACCGCGCATGAAGTAGCACTTTATCGCTCGGTTTTACAGGAGCAAAGTGGCACTTTACTGCCCGGCGTACAGTTTACTCTTAAAAAGCATTCCTGTATAATCAAGGCACTCACATTATTATCAATTATATGTTTTTTTCTTTCTCCAGGCACAGAAGGCATAGTTGTTGGTTGGGGCAAAGACTTGAATGGAGTTCTTATGACCAACGAACCAAAACAGACCAAGTTGCCCATCGTTAGTCAGGAAATTTGCCTCAGAAGTTCCTATGAATTCCTGCACGTCACATCTAACAGAACATTCTGTGCAGGCGAGTACAAATTATTTTTGGAAGTTTAAACTTTTTTCTCTCATCAAATTGCCAACGGCAATACTGCTAGCAAACAACAGGAACAGCCATGAAACTTTGTTTTCATATCTGAATCTCATAGAGGGCGCTAGATCCACGGTTCGTATCGAGTGATTTAAAATAAAAGTGAATGTTTATTGCACGAGTTGCATACAACATTTTTTCTACGTTCATGCAAAAAGCAAAAAATGATTTATTGAGGTGCGGCACTAGGTGTAGGAAAATGAAAAACGCAACTTGAATACTTTATTATTAATATCGATTTGCATTAAAACAGGAACTAATACGTTACGAACAATTTAACTCAAACTTTATTTTTCCCCTCAATGTTGAAAGTGAATGAACGATTGGTGCAATTTTCAATATGAATATCCCAGATAACACAGGATATCCTATGGATATCCTTCTCAAGTCCATTTCAGGTCGGGATATCCTGGGACATGAAATGGATATCCATAGGATATCCGTCAGAGGATATCAAATGGATATTCTGATTCGGATCACCTATGGACGTCCATAAGATGTTCGTTTAGCGAACAAAAATTGTTAATTGAGAATGGTTCAAAACAATACGAATCATCACAAATATCACATGCAAATCACATGTTTATTTGAAATTCAAAGGTAGTTTTCCATCATATAACTATTGTTATGTAGGTATAATATGTTTATAGCCACAATTAAGATATCCGATGCAAATATGAATTCATATAAATAGCAACACCACAGTTTGGAATTTTTCTCTGTTGTTCAATGTTTTCGTACAAAAATATACAATCACTCGAAAATAGCTCTCATATATTTACTTTTTTGTGGTCTTCAGATGGACATCCATGAGATATTCATCCATGGATTTATAGCGGATATCCATCAGAAGATATCTTACCCAGATAGCACAAGACGTCTTTAAGATGTCTGAATTATATCCTATCTTAGTCTGTACGTCTTACTCCCTGAATAAGACGTCTACAAGATGTCATCATTCAGACGTTTTAAAGATATCTGATTCTCACGTCCTGAATACGTCTTAAAGACATCGTAATAATACAAATAAGCAATAATGATATTTGGTATATTATAATAAGTATTAATCATAATCACTTTCAGTGTGTCATATCTGAACGTTCTCCACTCTCAGAATTCCTGAATTCCACACCTAGTTATGGTTCTATTCTCATAATATGGGTTAAACTTTTAATAAGAAATATAGGTATGATCATATTGATTCAGGCTAATAGAATATTTTCAATTTCATAATTTTTATACCTTCACCGTAATACATAGAGGTTATATAGATTGTTCAGAGTAAGTTATTTTATAAATCGGGTGGGATGATTTGAAAATACCGGCATGTCAAACGAAAGAGAGATCGTAGCGCCAGAGCCAGAACGTTGAAAGCCAGTACTATTTGATTGTTTATATTTTACATTGTTTGGTTTTGGTGATGGTGTTTATTGAGAGGTGTGTTTATGTTAATTTCGTTTTGAGTTCTCAATCATTCTCAGCTTTGATATTTGTGTATTTTTTAAATCCGTGTTTTCCAGTGGTTCATTGTGTTTTGATTGAGGACAATAATATCTCTGATGTTTAACAGTAGAACACCTACCTACCTCTAGTTGGAATGTTGAACCTAAAACCTATACCAACATAAGCTGTAAGTTTTTATCATTATTGAACAAGAATTCTTATGATTTGGCCTTTAGCCTGTGCATTTCAATCTGTCTATCCTTTTTCAGTGATTCAGTGTCTCCAAAATGAAGCTGAGCTCATAAATGCGGGCCACCTGGTTTTGGCTGGTCAAATGGATATGCAAATGATTGCATTGAAGTATAATAAGTATTATGCCTCATTATGTTTACAGTCCACTGTGTGTGTCAGGTAAGAAGAACTCTCCCTAATAATGATATTGGTAAACTCCTGAAACTCAACTCTATATCATTGTTTTCAGGAAGAATGTGGGATCTTCCAGAGATATAAATATGCTTGGTTGACACAAAAAGCAATCAACAGAGGGACTAATACAATCAGTATTCCTATAGATGAGATGCCCTGTTTTAAGAAAAAAATGAAGAGACCAGTTATATGAAACATATGAATATTCTCAATTTTCCTATCACAAACAGGGTGGACGAGCAACTTCTTTTCTGGAAATGTCAAACCTGTCCTTGGTAGTTGTACTTTTCAAATAAATGTCACAAAGATCAACTATTTATTTGTGTTGTATGTACCTACATGTTTGCTTCATAACTGGCACTTTAACCGAGGATGGCATTTTCAAACGGGACACCCGGTATTTTATTCCATAATCGGTTAAGGATTATCATAACGAATTCAACGATACTGTGTTTGATAGGATTTCTACAAACGATTAGGAAGATATTCACATTTCCATATCCTCAATGAGCATATGAAAACTTCGAATGCAAATATCTTCGTAATCGTTTGAAATAACCCTATCCAATCCGGTACCGTTGAATTCGTTATAATAGTTCCTAATTCATTATGGAATAATATACATGGTGTTCTATATTGTTAAGGATATTTAGTAAATATCCCTGAAAAATATCTCATGGATATTTGTGAACAGCAATATCTTATGGATATCCCTGAAAAATGTCTTATGGATATTTGTGAACAATATCTTATGGATATCCCTGAAAAATGTCTTATGGATGTCCCTGAAGGATATCCTATATAGAAGTCCAACTCCTTCCACTCGGCACGTCCATTGGACGTCCATAAGATATACATCGGATATCACTGGATATTCTCTGGATATCCCAAATATCCTAAATGGACGTCCAATGGATGTCCATCGAATGTCCGTGTGTTGACTGGGATATGACGTTTCTATAACCACAGTTGCAATATAAAAAAAATGTTTGTCATGATGACAGCACGTTGAAGTAGAATGACAGATGAGTGCAATAAAAACTTTATTGCACTAAGTGCAATAAAGAACTTCTTTTTCCACTAAATATAGTTCAATAAAGTTCTGCTTTTTGCATGAATGTAGAAAAAAAAAATTTGAGCTCAGAATTTTCAGACTGACTTTATGTTAACTTGAACCTTATCCAATTCAACACCGAAAAGGTACATTTGATAAAACTCAATACTGTGAATCGTTTGCGCAATAAATTTTAATTCGAAAATAATGAAGTAGAGTAGCTGATGCTGTTTTAGTCAAATTCATTTCAATGTTATTCTCGTGGTTCATGAAGTTCAGCATTACCATTATATCGTTATTTTCGATTTTCAATAAATAGATAATAGCTTATTTATAACAGCCAATAACAGTTATCACTTCATCATTTTCAAATCAAAATAGTCCAGAAAAAGTACACTGTATCGAGTTCCATCAGGAGTACCTTTCTGGTGTAAAATTGAATGATGTTCAAGTTCACATTACATTTGAATTGAAAGATCTAACCTCAAAAAGTTATGTTCAAAACTACTGGGTACGAAAACTAGCGCCCTCTATGAGAGTGAAATTTAAACACAAATGAATGCGTGTGTCAGCTTCCAGAACACATCCATACAAAATGTCATTACAATGTTGACAGTATATTCGACATAAAATCGTAATGAATGTGTAAACAAATATTTTTTCAACACCTTTTGTATCTTATTACGACATTTTTTACCGAGCAAACCAACTTATTTTGCAAGCAAGCTAGCAAGAGGGTCACTTTTTTTGGAATAACGTGTATAACTTTACTGTGACAGTTGATTTTTTGGCTTTTACTTGATTCAATATTCAATTGGTCATCTAATACACACCAATTGAATTGTTGATGGGGATCACATATTTTGAAATAATGCAGATGCTTATTATTACTATATGAAGAGGTACAATTTCAATTCCAAGTATTTTCAAACAGTATAGAAATATTCAAATGATCCTGATTTTCAATTTCAGGATTCCGGAATGGCAATGGACCCTGCAATGGAGATAGCGGCAGTGGATTCATAATAAACAGGAATGGAAGGTGGACATTGAGGGGTGTTGTATCCATGTCGCTCAAAGACATCAACACCAGGTCCTGTGACTTGAGCAACTATGTTGTGTTCACTGATGCCAGTAAATATTTAGATTGGTTGATATCATTTATTAAATGATTTTTACCCATCAGAGTCGATTTTTTTTTCTTCAGGTCTCAAAATCCTAAATGATGCATATTAACGTTGTCAGTACACCTCCACATTTTTTTGTTAGAAAATGTTATATCCTGCATTTTCAGAAACTCTTCTTCCATAACCTAGAGTATTTCTTTGACTTCGCCATTTTAGGGAAATCTACTATTTTGTTTAACGTATGGATAACATGTACGACAGAGTGGAATACCATCATAATTAAAGAAAAATAAGATGATCAAAGATGACAAATTGAAGAAAATGGCAAAATACATAATCAATTAAAAAAAATCCTTTCATTTAGAGTAACGATGGAAGATAATCCCAAAAAAAACCTGGAAAAATAAAAAAAATTAATATCCCATCTCTTCTGTTTTCCTACGAACTAATTATAAATTACGTCTGGAAATGTTTCAAGGCAGTACCCGCTGTAGTAGCCTTGCCATATGAGTAAATTTCAAATGAATTAATAATTACCAAACTTTCAAAGTAATTTGATGAAAAACTGAGATAGTGACCAGTATCTTGATATTATTAAGGTTCATGAGACAGGGTATAGACAAGTAATAAAAAAAACTATGAATTGAATAAATATATCGTTTATTATCAAATTTTTCGGTTTTAGAACGGATTATTATCAACTATGATAAATACAATGAGTGCCAGCTGTTAAAAGAATCATTTGAATTTGAATATATAAAAATAGTTCCATGTATAATTAAAATATAATAATGCAAACAATAACATTACAACAATATTCATAAATAAGGAGTGTCCAAAAATTCGCAGTCATTCAAAAAATCTCTTAATCGATAGTCCAAAGTTTGTAGTCCATCAAATAGAAATTCGGATCCTTTCAGGATATCTATACTTATATTCTGGTAATATATACATTATGTTCATTTTGAGGAGCACTCAATCAAAATTCCTTATTGTTGCGTCAAATTATTCTTGATTTTGAATCAACCATCCCATGTTGGAAGTGGACATATTAAACTCCAGTTGACGATTATTTCAGATTTTGAGAACCAACAAATGATTTAATACTGACCGCAAATTTCCTGGAAACATGTTGTAGATATATAACATCTCGAATATAAAAAATATATAATTTTAACAAACATATCTATGTATATTGCACCTCAGCGAAATTATTCCTCTAACGACACCTACCAAAACTGTTAGTGTTAGGAGTGTGTTATGTTTCGATGTCTGCCTACCGAAAATTCAAATCAGAATTTCATTCCTCATCAAATCAAGTCACCCAAAACACATTGTTCGATCAATTCCTCTTCGAAGAGTTGATCAAGTATTTGCAACAATGCGTCAACAAGTGCTTTTCCCCGTTGTTGTCCACCGCAGATGACATTTCTCTGGTGTAAACGTCCAAACCATACTGACCTTCCTCAGGAAAACTGATGTTGAACGTGACGATGTCATCGGAAATATTGTGGGACACGAATTTCGACAAAGATTTTTCTTCGACGCCATTTTTGTGTAACGTCGCCATGAAGTCCGTCAGCCTTCTCGACATCCTGAATTGGATTTCTAGCTCCCAGTCGGCAAATATCAAAGCGTCCTGAAAAAGTTAGGTTTATTCATAAAAATTCATTGGACACAGTAAAAGTGTGTGCAGGTCATTTTTGGAAGTGATTACTTCTATAGGCCCGTTGGGCACTTTCTGGGATGAGAGTAAACCAGCAAACTCGCGTCACGGAAGCGCCGCGTACCATCCGACATAATCATAAGTGTGGTCCAAAACGTGTGGTCCTGATGAACATTTTCACGCGAAATTAGAGCACTAAACATGAAACCTTCGAGAAACATTTCAATTCTACCCTATTGTGGACTGTTTGAAACGTTACAAGAAATGCAGTCCAGACTGTTCAGAGGTTCCGTCCAGGATTCCAGAGTATTTTTTATTAGTAAGAACATTTGAACGAAACTAAAATGATACGATTCAAGAAAAATTCACCCATGTAAGAATTCATGTTCTAATGCTGCTTCTACTGATGTTGTTGTGTTGCTACAAGCGTAAGCTCAACAACATTCAATCGCCAACTAATACTCTAGTCCTAGCTATTTCGAGTTTTGCTAAATACCTATAGTCACTGTTTCTGATTTCTGAATGTATCTGTTTGGCAGTGGTAGCCATAACTCGAGCCATAACTTGATAGTTATATAATTTGTGATTCATCACACCCAGTTGCTCAGTTTCTTAGAGCGATTCAACATTCGATGTAAATATTTCAAGGACGTATTGTTGAGATCAAAATAATACTTTCTCTTCATATGAACTTGTGTCCTAAAATGCACCTCCTCCGAACTACAGCCTCTGTTGGGTAAAAAAAAGAGATTATCTGAAATTGTGATCATAATAGCGGATCAAGTGCAAAGTTATTATTCTAGTACTGTGAATATCTAAAATGACAGTCTCAAATGCGTTCCGACATACGATCACCTCCGTATGCGAGCGTTCAACCCATTGCGTTCAAAAAAGGCGTGAAAGGTGACTTCTTCTTTCGTTGATTACGCTTTTCTGGCAAGCGGTTAGTTGTATGAAAAAAATGCAACGGACCGAATTCTTACATTTCTTTATGGTCCAATGTGCTGGATTATAAAACCATATTATACAATATGTTAATATTATGAAATAATTGATACTTTGTCGATCGAACATAGTCCAGCTCAACTACCCAGATAACACAGGATATCCTATGGATATCCTTCTCAAGTCCATTTCAGGTCGGGATATCCTGGGACATGAAATGGATATCCATAGGATATCCGTCAGAGGATATCAAATGGATATTCTGATGCGGATCACCTATGGACGTCCATAAGATGTTCGTTTAGCGAACAAAAATTGTTAATTGAGAATGGTTCAAAACAATACGAATCATCACAAATATCACATGCATATCACATGTTTATTAGAAATTCAAAGGTAGTTTTCCATCATATAACTATTGTTATGTAGGTATAATATGTTTATAGCCACAATTAAGATATCCGATGCAAATATGAATTCATATAAATAACAACACCACAGTTTGGAATTTTTCTCTGTTGTTCAATGTTCTCGTACAAAAATATACAATCACTCGAAAATAGCTCTCATATATTTACTTTTTTGTGGTCTTCAGATGGACATCCATGAGATATTCATCCATGGATTTATAGCGGATATCCATCAGAAGATATCTTATGGATAGCCATAAGATATCCAAAGAAAACATAAAATCATATTTATGTCAAAATAACTTTTGTTCTTCAACATTTTCGCACAAAAATATGATTTTTCAGAAATAACTTGTCTCCATTTTTTTCCTTGGGATTGAGATGGAGATCCATAAGAAGATATATTCGCATCCCTGAATTCAAAACTAGGTAGGTATTTTCCCAATGGATAGTAATAAAATATTCTGAAGCAATAAAATATAAATCAATATGGCATTCGCGTGAATGACAAATTTTCCAAAAGAAAGATGGAAAAATCTAAGTGAATCTAATTCTTGAATTCACCTTAACAGCATTTCGGAAAATAGCTTCATTGTTGCGCTAGGGATAACGCGATTCAAATCCGGCCACCTCGCCTCCTCTATTTATCTCTCAAAAGATTGAATAGAGCAGTTTAGCTACCGTTGAGAGAGAAAAAAAATGTCTTCCCATCTGTCCTTGTCTTCAGTGTTCCAACATGAAATAATGAAAATCTTATGTTGCCAACACTGGAAATGAGAAGAAATGAAGAAGAAGACCGTTCTAACCTTCTTTTATATCGAGGTTAATATGATATTCTTCTCCATTTTTCCCATTTCCAATGATGCCAACATAATATTTTCATTATTTTATGTTGGAACACTGAAGACAAGGACAGATGGGGAAGACATTTTTTTTCTCTCTCAACGGTAGCTGAACTGCTCTATTCAATTCGAATTAACCTCCATGGCTAGAATCGTTCTGATTGGTCTAAAAATGCATCCATGTCGAAAGTCATGGTAAATTGAATTCTTTCATGAGGTATGAGCTAAAGCTTCTTAACCTAACTTTGTTAGTTTTATAGTTTTTCTCATATGGTTTTTCTTCATCTTTCCATAATCGGTTAAGGATTATCATAACGAATTCAACGATACTGTGTTTGATAGGATTTCTACAAACGATTAGGAAGATATTCACATTTCCATATCCTCAATGAGCATATGAAAACTTCGAATGCAAATATCTTCGTAATCGTTTGAAATAACCCTATCCAATCCGGTACCGTTGAATTCGTTATAATAGTTCCTAATTCATTATGGAATAATATACATGGTGTCCTATATTGTTAAGGATATTTAGTAAATATCCCTGAAAAATATCTCATGGATATTTGTGAACAATATCTTATGGATATCCCTGAAAAATGTCTTATGGATATTTGTGAACAATATCTTATGGATATCCCTGAAAAATGTCTTATGGATGTCCCTGAAGGATATCCTATAGAAGTCCAACTCCTTCCACTCGGCACGTCCATTGGACGTCCATAAGATATACATCGGATATCACTGGATATTCTCTGGATATCCCAAATATCCTAAATGGACGTCCAATGGATGTCCATCGAATGTCCGTGTGTTGACTGGGTAGCCGCGGTATTGATTATATAATATATTATAGATATTGTTGTCAAAATGTTCGAAATAAGCATATTCAGCAGCCCAAACAGGAAATCCCTATAATGTTCAAAGAATATCGTGCGTTCCTAGGGAGGATAGGGACAGAAGGTAGGTATTGGATTTTTTTTTGAACTTCTGGAGATTATATGTTGTTGGGAATACTTCCTCAGGCAATGAATTCCAGAGCCTAGCCGTTCTATGGATGAAGGAGTTTTGATAAAGTGCTGTTCGACATCTCTCGCGGTTGACTACGAAAGGATGTGCTGACTGGGCTTGTCTAGTTCGTCTGACTGGTATTGCTAGTGAAGGGATGATAGCAGAGATTTTCGAAGAACATTTTCCGTGGAAGTATCGATAGAAAAGTGAAAGGTCGCCGACCATTCTACGGTGTTCCAATGATGTCGAAGAGTGAGTGAGTGTGGCGTCAACCACCAGGCGAATTGCTCTTCTCTGGATGGAATCTAAGAGCATCAGCGTATGTTTTGGCGCTGAACCCCATATGTGGGAACAGTATTCTAGAACAGGTCCTATCTGTGCTTTGTAGATCATTTGTTCAGGCATGAAAATATATTGCGTAGGTAGGTAGGTAGTTTTCATGCTGATTCGATTATTTTGGTTGAAGATTTAATAACCTACTCCTCACCTGATGCGTTATGGGCACCAGCCCAAACAGCCGCGTGGCCTTGGTGGGCCCCCATTCGCCACTCGCGCAGTCCGGCAGCGGCACCATCACGGTGCGCAGCTCGTCGCACCGGATCTTGAATTTGCACACGCTCTTGAACTTCATCGGCTCGCCGGTGAGGTACTGCTCGGGTGTTACCGCATTCGCGAAGATGTCCAGCAGGAAGGCGCCGCTGCGAGGAGCGTGCACTCTGAAGGCTACCACGTTGCCCACTACTGACTGTAAGATACAATGTATCACTTTCAGATATTTGATAGTATACCCATGAAATTTTGAAAATTGAGCTGATTCTTCGCCGGCTCGAAGGACCAGTACAATGTTTATAATTACCTGAAATGAGCTTATGAAAGGATCCGGCCTATCAATGTTAATGTTCATCGATTTTTTCTTCTTTACAAATAAAATAACTCTTTTACCTATTTTTCGATTCTATTTATTCTCAAAAAGAGGAAGGCGCCACTGCAGGGAGTGTGCACTCTAAACGCCACCACTTTCCTCATCATCGACTATGAGCTAGGATGAAGGAATTCAGAACGTTTCGGTACATCTGTTATATTTAATATTGTTTCCAGAAAATGCGGAAAATTGGGCTTATTCTCCGAATTTCGAATAGTGAGAATGAGGTTTATTTCTAAATTTGATGTCAACATTCGGAATATGAATAATCGTGACTTTGAAAGAGAATACTGTTCATAACTAATTACTTAAAATAACTATAAGGATCCGGCTCGAAGGACCAGCACAATGTTTATAATTACTTAAGATGAGCTCATCGATGTGATTTTCTCTTTTACAAATTAGATAACTCTTCTACATTCTCTGAACGCCACCACGTTTCCCACCACCGACTATGGGGATGAAAAAATTCAGAACGTGTTGGTACATCTGTCATATTCGATATTGTTTTCATAAAATGATGAAAATCAAGTTGATTCTCTAAATTGCGAATAGAAAGAAGGTTTAGTTTTCAATTTTTATCCACTTAAATTCTGATGTCAGAGTTATTAACTTTCTGTTGTGTTCAAATTTAGCGTGTTGATTATCACAAAAGTTGTGCAGAGGGCAAAAATTCATACAACTGTAATCAAGAAGCACATCTGAATAAAACACTCAACGGCAATAAAAAAACAAAAACCTGACCAGAAAAAGTGAGCCAAATTGGTCGCCTTGCAAATTCAGAACCTGTGAAGCATTTTTGGGATGAACTCCAACGGCGCATTTGTCTTCGTCCGGAGAGACTCTTCAAGGGCTAAGACTTAACATTCAGGAATATTTTAAGGCAATTCCCTAAGACATGCCAAGACTGTTTGAAGAATTTGAAGCTCGAGTAGGGCATACATCTCAAAGAGGTTTGCTTTTTATTTGTTTTTTGTAATTGAGTTTTTTCGCAGAAGAGTGCCAAAAACGGGGTGGAAATAATTTATATTTTTCTTTAGATGTGTTTTTTATTATTTCAAGATGTTAATTGAATAGTTCCTATAGGTTCTGAATCATATTGTTCTTTGAAATCTAAAAATCCCGTACTTTTGACGTGAATTGAATACCATTCTGTAAAAAGGGATCTCACTTCAATCCAAAACATGATGAAGCTAAGTTTAATAATTCATTAGCCACAGAGCGTTGAGAAATTAAGGGTGAATGAATTTCTTCTGATTTTCCCTGTATAATGATCAAGCCTTCAACTTCTCTAACAAATTCAGGCTAACCCACAAAAATATAAATCTACGATTTTTTCGAAATTTCACCAGAAACGGACGAAAATTGAAAAAGTTACAGGGTGATCAATTGGGCAGAATTTTTCTCTCAACGGTTTTCTTTGCCGGTACGTGTATATTGTTCTCACCTGCATGACGAAACGTTTGAGCGACACCCCGTCATATGTATCCCCTTCACTGTCATAAAATTTGAGGTTGTAGTGGAAAATCAGGCTGCCCTGCATGTGGGCAGGCATTGCTATCCGTACTGTTGCCGCACCTGAAATTAATTGATAAATCTATTCATATTTTTATTCATCAATCTGTACACTCATATGAACATGTCGGGTCAGGTAATTTGATTTCTTGATACCTATGTTGTTCCTATAGAGGTACTATTTGAAGAGCCCAAGTTTTCGACCCAAAAACCATATCAACTCAGCTGAAAAACCATTTCTTCATAGAGGAAATCTCGAATGACAGGTGAGAACTGAAAATGTTAGTAAATTCTGAATATCTGCTCTAAATTTTGATGGCTGTAACTCTGAAAGTTTCATACTCAGGACTGAGATTTTCATTTCAGATAGTTGACAATTTACTGTCCTTCATAAAATTACCTCAGTAGATACAACATACCAAAAAATCAGAACTACCCACCATTTGCATATATTATCTGGGATACGTTTAGATTGGATTATTTATCTGAATTTCTGAACACTCTGTATAAGTATACCATTTGAGGAAATTCTTGGGAATACAGAACCTATCCGAGTTAATTCTTGATAATTATTCAACTGTTCAAAATGGAACCTGGAAGTACGTTTTTGATTGATTGATTGATTACTCACTAGGTAGGTTCACAATTTCGCCACCAGGTAGCATCTCGACTTTTGGGTTCGCGAATAGATTTACAGAGGTAGGGTTTTACGAGATTGAATTCAGAATGAGATTTCTGATACAAAAAGGAAATTACTGGGTGAATTCTTGATCAGAAAGTGAATTTCATTGATAGAATCGTTAGATTAAACTTTTTTCCCGATTATTGGTACAAAAAGCCTCAGAATAACACATATTCATGTAGATCCGAAATGAAAAGATACTCAACAATTCATAAAATATTCTTAGTGACTCACCAGTGGAATCCGTGAACATGACAGCTTTGGTGTTCGGATCCGAAAAATAAAGTTCATATCGGAAGAACAAAGATCTGACGAAGGGCAGCTCCTCGAATTCCTGCAGGGTGATGGTGTTTTTGAGGAGCTGCCAGTCCGGCTGCAGGGGAAAGAATTCGTAGATGAACTCTTTGGGGTCGGTCAGGAAGTAATGGTCGTCATATTCGTATCTGAAAACATCAATTATTGTTCAATTATTAATTATTTATTTGATGACATATTGGAGGTACATCAGTGAAAATGTTGGTTTTCTTGAGGGTGTTTTGTCCCAGTAAACACAAACATCCCTGGGATGTAACATTCATGTCCCGCTCGGTAACCTTTTCCAGTGGTATTTCAGGAAGCATTAATTCAATTTCAGAAAGGGTCAATAATTATTGTATTCAAGAATAGTCACTAATATTTCAGAAAGTATCATGTATTTCAGAAAACGTTAATTATTGTCTTTCAGAATAGTCAATTGAATTTCGAATGATATTTTCTGAAATACATCCGACACTTCCTGAAATTCAATTTACTATATTCTGAAGTACAATTGACGCTTTCTGAATGGGAATTGACTATTCTGAAATACAATTAACGCTTTCTGAAATACAATTATTGGAAAAGATGTGATGCTAGTGGTACCCATCAGCGAGCACAAACATCCCTGAGATGTTTTGGGATGTTTTGAAAATGTTGGCATGAAGATGTTTTTGTGGGACGTAATATGCACTTCCCAAAGAGGTTTTTAAAGGATATTGAATTATTGTTTTTGTTGTTCTCTGGCATTTCTTTGTGTGCCTACTGAGAAGTATCCCTGAGATGTTTTGGTATGTTTCAAGGATTTAGGCATCAGGATATTTTTTGAGACGTGATCTGCATTTCCAAAGATGTCCTTGAAGGATATTGAGAGGTATGGCTTATGTTCTTCTGTGACATTTCTCTGTTTGCCTACTGAGGAATTATCCCTGGGGTGTTTAAAAAATGTTGACATGAGGATGTTTTCTTCAGACTTAATATGCGCCTTTCAAATAGGTTTTTGAAGAATATTGAAGGATATTGAACTTATTGTTTTTGTTCTTCTGTGCCATTTCTTTGTCTTCCCCATCAAAACTTCTCATGCTTACGTCACAATACGATGAATTCTGATGTTGTTCTTGTTCGCATTTGCGTTTGCAGCGTCTTTTCACTCCATTATTCATTACAAGAGAACGACATATCGGAAACAATAGTATATTGTGCAACAACACGAGCCTGAAGGGCGAGTGATGCAAACACACGAGTGAGAAAAGTACTTTTCCCACATGTTGCACACTATACTTTCTCTGCAACTGCACTTATTCAAAGAATCCAGAGTAATGTAAATATTGGTATTCATTTCATGCCACATTGAATATTGTGACCAAAGAGTAGACGCCTTTCCTAGTTCCTCAAAGTATTTAAAAAAAGTACACTTTCCGAAAAAGATTTTATTTCTGTATTTTGTTTAGATCACATAAATTTTTTGTATATGCCAATTCATACTTTTTTCTTGGATATTCCGTAAACAAATCCAACTTTCGCAGCCTTTTCCATTATCTCTGTCTCTGGCGGTGTATTTATCAAAATCGTCACATCATATTATTTATTAAGAATGGTTGGAATAATATTTGATGGGAAATGCGATTTCTATCAAAAGCCTTAATGAGAACTACCCTAAGGAATTTAAAAAACTTCTTCTGACAGTTGTGACAACTATTCAGATCCGAACAGCAGCCAATTCAGTTTTGGTCGATTTTTGTTGATTCTCCATGGAAATGTATATGGTGTTGGCAAAGTGCCGTGAGAAAAAATATTTCTCACAGTATGAGCAATACATGATTTCGAAACTAAATAAGCTATGAGAAATGTGCTACTTTTCATAGCAGTAGAGGAAAAATGTATTTTCGTGACACCTATATCTGTATAAGCGGCGCCAGCGGCGTACATTGGCTGTTCTATGGAAGTTCCATTCATGTGTCAACAGAACATCGCAGTGGAGGTTCAATGTCTCGACATCTCGTACTTACAACATCTCTGAGATGTTTTTGTGCTCGCTGGGTAGGAAGTAGAACCGCTGAAATACCACCAAACCTACCTCAAACTGTCCGACTTGGTCTTGTTGCCCTGCTTGGGCGCCTCCTTGGCGTTGACAAGATGGCGGGCGCCCCAGTTGCATTGCACGAACCGCCACGCGCCAGCCACGTACACAGCGTTCCAGGAGTTGCGGAATCTGGAATCAGAGAAGCGCACGCCTGGCTGGTACCCCGCCGACTTCGAGTGGCCCTTGATCACCACGCAGTGCAAACCGGCGTAACTAGATAAAAGAAAAATTTGTTGGTTTATACATTGATCGGATCATGAGGTGTAATTATGGTGTTTCAGAACTAATAAAGAAACTCATCAGGAGTACTTTTTCAAGGTTCAGATTTTTGCGAAATATCGTTGCACTGCATGAACCGCCACGCGCTTGTCACTTTCAGGGGTGATAGTCCACCGATTCCGAGTGGCCCTTGATCACCACGCAGTGCAATCCGGCGTAACTAGATAAAAGAAAAATTTGTTGGTTTATACATTGATCGGATCATGAGGTGTGATTATGATGTTTCAGAACTAACAAAGAAACTCATCAGGAGTACTTTTTCAAGGTTCAGATTTTTGCGAAATATCGTTGCACTGCACGAACCGCCACGCGCTTGTCACTTTCAGGGGTGATAGTCCACCGATTCCGAGTGGCCCTTCGCACATCGATAGATTTAATAATTCAGTAATAATCTTCAGAGAGAAACTGAATCAGAGAGTAATACTAGAAATTGAATCAAGGAATGCTCAAGGTAACTCTTTACCTTCCTTGGAATTGACATTTCCTTGAGGCTTCCTCAGAGCTCATATTACGACTATAAATTGGAAACTGGTCCTTAAGGATTCCTTAAGGGACGAGGTCAACCTAAGGAGCGACTATAAATACGGACCTAGATAAAAGAAAAAGGTGGTCCAATGAAAGCATTGTTGATAATGATAGTTATTCATTACACAAGCTAAAAAAGTTGTAGATGTTAGCTCCAGGTTGTGTTGAGAAAAAGAACCTTGAGCTTAAATCCAATATTTTTCTCGTGTTTGATACACTATTTTTTTCTGTGACAGAAAGAAGGACGAATCAATATTGAAGAGATACTACATTATCAAAATCAGAAACTTATCGACCTGAAATTAGAAGTTTTCAACAGAAATGACACCTGAGGTGTTTTGCAGGCAATTCAGTAATTTACGTAACCGCGAAGTCGAATGGAAGATAAAAGGACTTGCAGTTCTTTCTCGGAGACGGTGTTATCGGCTCATTTTTCGGAACTATAGCAACCAACAGAAGCTATCAACAGTGTATATACAGGGTGTTTCGAAATTCGACCGACAACGTTTGACAGGTGATAGCCCTCGTGATTTCATAATCATTGAGATAGGAACATTCGGTCTTCAAGTGTTCAGTTCTCGAGATACAGGGCGTTGAAGTTGAGAAATGAAAATAGTTGTTTCGCAATATCTCAAGAATAATTGAATATAATGCATTCAACTTCGGTATATGGTTTCATCTTTGAATGGGCCATTTTTTGACCTGGAAGCCATTCCGGACATTTTGTCCAGTGGTGCCCTACAGGGGGTTGTGGCATTTTTTCCTTCCATATTTTCTACGCCACTGATTGAATTTCGATTATTTCCAATTCCTCGAATTCATTGTTCAATTTTGTTCAGAAAATGCATCACCTTCAACTGAGCTGAAATAAACAGTTTTCGAGATATTCGACCCAAAATAGAAGATTGCATAGTAATATTTCATCATTTTCAGTAGTAGAAAATTGCAAAAATATTTTTCTGGTGTTGAGTAGATTAGATACTATTCAGATCTCATGCTATAGCTGAACAGAAATAGTTATTCCACGCATAAAGAGAGAACAAAAATGTTCGTAATTTTCTAATACTGAGGAAGATGAAAAATTACTATGCAAACTTCTATTTTGGGTCAAATATCTCGATAACTGTTCATTTTAGCTTAGTTGAAGGTGATGCACTTTTTCAACATAATTGAACAATCAATTCGAGAAATTAGAAATAATTGAAATTTCATCAGTGGCGTAGAAAATATGTGCGGAAAAGTTATCACAACCCTCTGTAGCGCACCTCTGGATAAAATTCTCGGAATGTCTTTCTGGTCAAAAAATTAACCATTGGAAGATCAAACCATATACCGAATTTGAATGCATTTAATTCAATTTTTCATGAGATATCGAGAAAAAACTATTTTAATTTCTCAACTTCAACGCCCTATATCTCGAGAACTGAACACTTCAAGACCGTCTGTCCCTATCTCAGTGATTATGAAATCACGAGGGCTATCACCTGTCAAGCGTTGTCGGTCGAATTTCGAAACACCCTGTATATCCGAGAAAAAATTTGATTGACATGCGAAATTTTTGTTTGCGAGGCGGAGCTACGGCGAAACAGACCACGAACATTATGCGAGCCAGAGTCACTTTTGATCCAAATGAAACATGCTATTCATTCTGAAATCGAAATAATTGATATCTAATTGATAATGGAGTAACCATTATTTTTACTCACTTGAGCATGTCAGTGTCGAAGCAGCTATAATAACAGCTGTCATCCAGCATACAATGAATACAATAAATTTGTGAGTACTGCCGATTTTATTCTCCTTTGATATAAGACACCATTGAAAACAACCTCACAATACAAAATGTCAAACCCTTGAAAATATGTTTCATTTTATAACAAGAAATGTATAAATTGATGTGTAATGGAAAACATTGCGCTCCTTATTTTGCCCGTCGTACTCCAAACAACACTTATGACAAAAAAGGTGCTTATGAAACTAGTAGAACTATATACTGTTCCACTTTCTATCCGTCAGAAATACAATATGTCTGTGATAACAGATCACTTTTTTCCCACAAATAATGTGTTTAAGGCTGTGTCAAGTCATTCGTTCGACCAGAGTGGTGATACCTGGATGGTCAATGGTTAAGTCGACTCCCATCAGAAGTTAACGTGGTAACTGATAACTGGTTGTCAGACTGATGGTCAGACTTCACATGAACGTATGAACCCGGTCAAACCACAGACTTCACACAACCTAATTTACAAACATTGACCTTACCTACATAACCTCTTGAATAAAACATGGTAACTCTCAGTACCATTCTTTATGCCTCTCAGAAGACCCATCGGAGAATCCCCTCGCAAGTTTTCGTCAAATGACATAGTATTCAAATTTTTCACTGTAATCCACCTAAATATAGTCCTGTAAATCGAATAAAATGAGATTTATTTGAAAACTTGAAAATCGAAATTCAAGAATGAAACTTCAGCAGATCAATGAATATGAAGATTAGCTTGACAACATGTATTAAAGTTCATGACATATAGTATGGGTGCGTCTTTATCAAACACCCATTGATAAATAAATATCGAGATGAAATTAATTCTTAGCGATTTCGTATGATCCTTTCAATGACTTGGAGAGATCACTGTCTTTAAAGAACAAAAACAGTGGGAACACGTAGTGTTGAATAATATTTTTTTTATAATTTGAAACCCTATCGAATTATGATTGTACATACCATAGACCTATACAAACATAATATGGCACATTTTTCATTTTTCCTTGAAAGTGATAAATGAAGTTATATAAACAAATGATGCTAGAAATTATTGTGTGGATCATATATATTTTTATATTATTCAACAAGCATAATGTAATGAGTGCTATTATTCATAAGGTTATTAAGTTTATGTCTCGTTTATGTCACTAGCGTAACGAGTGGCATAATCAACCTAAGTGTACAATAGCTCATTATATGCTAGAAGAATACTATACTTTGTCCACGACTATCATTGTTTTTGATATATAAATTTAATTTTAAAAACTGTTTATCATAACTCATTTGACATTAGGAAAACTAGAAATTGAAGATACCTGTTATATTAATTATTTGTACTCGACTGTTGGAATTCCTCAAGCAAAACGATAGCCAATTTTCACACCAGTAAATAATAGCAGTGAATAATCATTATTCACTGGTCTAGAGAGTTCCTACGGTACGGTCTGAAAAATGGCATGCACACTACATGTCGCCGCTTTTTTTATTTTGATAACTGTATACCGAGTGATGACTCATTCCACAAGTATGTATTTGTGTCCAACTGATTTATAATTATTATATTTTTCTTGTCATCGAAATAAGCACTATGATAATGATATAAACAACATGGGAAATATTTGTCTTACCTAGCCTTTTCTATGTCGGAGCCACACCGTCCCACCAATTGCCTCACCAAGTCAGTAAACGACTTTTGATCTTCTTGGGCAACAGAAATTGCGATTTGATCGACATTGGCGAATTCAATTGGGTCGCTATATACCTAAAGGACAAGAACGATATTAGAATCAAAGATGTCTCATTATATTTTTCAGGAAATTTAATGTCACATTTTGATTAGATATTTTCGAATACCAAAATGATGTTGTTGATTTTAGTTCAAAACACCATGTGGAGTGTAAAACACTTTACAAACGATGAGATTTCAATAATAATGAGTTTAATAATAATACGGATAATTTTTTTAGTTTTACAAAACAACAAATGCCACAAATATTTCATATTTTGATTCGAAGATTTTAAGAAAAAAAATTGAATGAAAAGGGGGGTCTTGTGACACATAATTTTGAAGCTCTTGAAATTCCACTTCAAACCAACGATCTGTTGGAAGCAACTCCATGTCCCGTATACAGCTTCGCGGATGATAGTACCCTCCATCCCGTCTTCTCTTCCAGGGCTCCAATACCAGCCAGGCAAATCAGGATCGAACGAGGGAGAAATGTTGTCAACATAAATATGGACCTGGCAACAATTCTCGAATGGGGATCCAATAACTTGATAGATTTCAATGCAAACAAAACACAGGCATACCTTTTCTCTAGAAAAGTCGATTCTTGGGGAAATCAGTCAGCCGCTTATGATATATAAGGCACAGATCCGACCTCTCCTGGAATACTGTCCCCATATTTGGAGTGCAGCATCCAAACATACCCTGAAACTGTTGGATTCTTTCCAAAAAAGGCAACGTCTCGTGGGTGATGCCTAGCTCACAAACTCACTCACTTCTCTGAAACACCTTAGAAAAGTTAGCTATCTGGCTCTATTTTATAGATATTAGCATGGACGATGCTCTTCTGAAATTCAACAATTGTTCCTCCCTTGGCAGTCCCCGCGAGATTACCCCATCGAGACGAGGCTTCGCGCCCCTTCTTGGTCACTTGGGAGACCTGCAGAACATCTCTTTCCAAAGACTCGTTCATCCAACGAACAGCGAGGCTCTGGAACACATTGTCAAGGGAGGTGTTCCCCAAGGCATATAACCTCCAGAAATTCAAGAAGAACACCAATTCCTACCTTATTTCCCTAGGTTCTCACGATGTTCTCTAAACATTACAGGATATCCATTCTGGTGAGAATCAGAACATAAAAAAAATGCATCCATTTCATTATCCCAAGTATAGATTCTTTCAGTTGACCCGTCCAACCATTCAAAAAATAAAAGGGGGGGCATTAGAGAAAAGCACTGTATGATTGAAATAGCAATGAACAAAACGAACATGTACTTTTTCATCACCGAAAAATAGTGCCAGCAGTATACCATTGATTAAATCAATGGGCCATTGAATCACCGTCGTTTTTGTTGGGGAGTTTCCATAAAAATCTGGACCACCCTGTATTGAAATTACCTGAAATTTGCTTAGTGTAGGAGGTGAAGGATCCGGAGCATGACTCGGATAGGGCGGAAGTTCTTCAGTGAATCCGTCGTTCTGGTCCAAATACAGCGATTCTGCTTGCATGTACTCGCTGCGTTTTTCATTTATCAATTCCAACATTTCGCTGCTCTGTTTTTCGACCAATGCTGCCGTTGCTGCCCTACAAAAATGAATCACAATAAAATCGAATTTAGGAACGAAAATTATTGTTTTTTAATGCAACAAGAATTTTAAGAAAATAAAGAGTACACAAGCTCTCAACTAGATTTTGAAACTATAGTAGAGGATGTACAGTGTGTCTCCGTATATTTCGACCCATACCTACTATACGAGGTGAAAAAGACTTTCAGATAATATGAAAGTTGTAGGATTTCATCTGTACTAAGTTTGGCATCCATTAAAAAAGAACAGATTCAAATCACAAAATGATAAAAAGGGTCAGTTTTTTCAATAAAATGCCGTGTATATTTTCAACTATAGTGAACAATATTTCTCTCCTGTTCACAAATATAAATAATTTGCAAATATTTCCTGAAGCCATTTTTCTCTTTATTTGACATTGAATCAAAGTTGCCAATAACATTTATAGATAGATGGCCGTGAACACAACAGGTTTGTTCGTGTTTCAAATTGTTGAAATGGTCCTTGCACTGCGCAGAATCAGGTGCACATCAAATTTAACCCGAAACAAGTATGGGATAGTTTTTGAACCAGATAAACGAAAACGCCGTTTTCCAGTTTTCTCATCTTCTTTCTCCAAAAAATACTGTGTTTTATTGACTCACGTGAATTGAGGGCATATTTGGGTTAGGGTTACGTTGATGTTTTCATAAAATAATTTTAAAATTCAAGATCTGAACATAAACCTTGCCAAGTAAAATATTCATATGCAACATAATACCAAAAATGATCCCTGAATTCATAATCTGAGTATAGATTCATTCAAGACCACCATTATCAAGATTGGTCTCGAGGATATCTAGCAAATTACAATTTGAAAAACGTTTGTTATCATTTGAACTAAAGATAGGACGATGAACTGAAGCTAATATGCCCATTGTTCATAATCTTCATTGATTTTGTTGAATACCATTCTTCATCTTGTTCAACGTGTATCTCTCAACATAAGAACGCTTAGAACCGCTTATTCATTTATCAAGCTCACTTCAACATGACAGTATTAATTCAGCCATCATGGCTGCTTAAGAAATGTAACAAAATGTGAAATTCACAATTTATCTCAGTTTGAGAATCGAATTTTAATATGTTTGTACCGTAATAAGCAATAATGTTCACACTACTTAACATGACCAGAGATATGTTATGGAGAATTTCTCGTCAACCTGACGAGTATGCACTGTTGATAGCTATTTATAGCCGAAAGTTCGTATAAAACGTGAACACGTGATCTGTGCGATACTGAGAAAACGCTTACACTTCCCTGTCAATGCGCATATTTCTGATGGTTTCGGACTAATAATTTTGTGAACGCAAACAAACCTCCTAGAGAAATGCCATAGACAAATAAACAGACATTTTTGACCAATTTGCATATTTGTAAACAGAATAAGAAGATCTTTCATCATCAACAGTTGAGATATACAGGGTGTTCATTTGAGGAGTGCCAAAGGATAGTACAGATGAAACCCTACAACTTTCAAATTTGAAGTTTTTTCCACCTAGTATACCGGGTGACACAGGAGACATGTAGCAGCCTGTAGTTTTTTTATTTGAAGAGATAAAATTTTGAAATTCACAGGGGGTATATAATAAATGGTAGCGCACTTTACGAACTTAACGACAATTTTTTTCAACCACCTGTTTGATCGGAAGTGACCCCAGCTTTTTTTTTGAATGTCACCCTGTACATTTCTTCAGTCTATCGGTTTTCGCCTTAAAATTCCCTATCCAACCATGTATCACAAAGTGGCATTTATTTCTTGATTCGCTGTTGAATTGCTTTTTATTCAAAAAGAATAAGTTGGCTGTGACATGAATTCCATGATATATCGACACTTGGTAGGCTTTGAAATTTAAATATCGTTAGTAAACCGATATTATTCAGAATGTTTCGATATTCTGATCAATGTCTGCAGATTGTCAATAGCTTGTTTGAGTCAAGATGAAAACCTTCGAAAATAACTCATGATATTGAGGAATCTAAGATAGGAACATATTTTTTCGAATTCAGATACTCGTACAGAAACTATCTGTCCTTTATTTTCGCCATGTACCTATCACATGATCTTCCTATTTGGAATAATAAAACTAAAATTGTTCCTCTTATACGATATATAAGGGCGATCAGTCTATTTTTTCATAATTATTTCACTATTAGTAGGCGGTGTATCTACACAAAATGTTTTATGTGTTTAACAGCTAACCGATTGCATCAATAATTTTTCTTCTTCATTTGTGTGTCGATTGAAATTGCATATTAACAACATAGTTTTCGTTTCTTGAATACATTCAGGTTGGGTTACTAGATCTGGTAACATATCTTAGGTTGGGTTACTAGATCTGGTAACATATCTTAGGTTGGGTTACTAGATCTGGTAACATATCTTAGGTTGTGTTACTAGATCTGGTAACATATCTTAGGTTGGGTTACTAGATCTGGTAACATATCTTAGGTTGGGTTACTAGATCTGGTAACATATCTTAGGTTGGGTTACTAGATCTGGTAACATATCTTAGGTTGGGTTACTAGATCTGGTAACATATTTAAGGTTGAGTTACTAGATCTGGTAACATATCTTAGGTTGGGTTACTAGATCTGGTAACAAACCTTAGGTTAGGTTACTAGATCTGGTAACATATCTCAGGTTAGGTTACTAGATCTGGTAACATATCCTAGGTTAGGTTACTAGATCTGGTAACATATCAACTTTTTCGTTTCTTTAATACATTTTCCGTCTCTATTGATAATATGCAATTTTAATCAACACACTAATGAAGTAGAAAAATTATTGATGCAATCGATTAACTGTCAAGCACGAAACTTTTTGTGTAGGTACACCGCCTACTAAGTGAAATAATTATGAAAAAATAGACTGATAGCCCTGTGGATCATCGTATAAGAGGAACAATTTTAGTTTTATTATTCCAAATGGGAAGATCATGTGATAGGTACATGACGAAAATAAAAGACAGATAGTTTCTGTACGAGTAGCTGAATTCGAAAAAAAAAATATTCCTATCTTAGATTCCTCAATATCTTGAATTATTTTTGAAGGTTTTCACCTTGACTCAAACAAGCTATTGACAACCTGCAGACATTGATCAGAACATTTTGAATAATATCGGTTTACTAATGATACTTAAATTTCAAAGCCTACCAAGTGTCGATATATCATGGAATTCATGTCACAGCCAACTTATTCTTTTTGAATAAAAAGCAATTCAACAGCGAATCAAGAAATAAATGCCACTTTGTGATACATGGTTGGATAGAGAATTTTAAGTCGAAAAAGATAAATTGAAGAAATGTACAGGGTGATATTTAAAAAATAAAGTTGGGGTCACTTCCGGTCAAACAGGTAGTCGAAAAAAATTGTCGTTAAGTTCGTAAAGTGTGCTACCATTTATTATATACCCCCTGTGAATTTCAAAATTTTATCTGTTCAAATAAAAAAACTACAGGCTGCTACATGTCTCCTGTGTCACTCGGTATAGTTGTTTAATCTGTAGGTAGGGGTCAAATGATAAAGAGACACCCTCTGTCCATTAATTTCAATCTACCGGCTATGAAGTAGGTACTTTATTAGTCGAATTGTGTTTTGAATGGATACGATTCGTCAATGCGACTTAATATTTTGAGATACCTTTCATGTTCTAGCATTTTTCTTGTTAAAGATTCTTTCTTCTTGTCTCGCCTCAGCGTCATATTTTTTTCCAAGTCATCTTTTTCCTGCTGATGCCTCAAGGTCAAATTGTTCTGGTCATCTCGTCTTCGTTTCATCTGCAGTTCTCTCTCGAACCTGCTCGTGAGTCTTTCCAGTTCTTTCTCCCATTCATTCTAGAAGAAAAAACAACTTATTTATTCACCAGTATCAGTTATTTGAAACTGTTTTACCCTAATTTCATCCCGAATTCGTCTATCTTCTTCTTCCCTCTGTCTTTGAAATTTCGTGTACAAATCATCTTCTTCTTTCCTATGCCGCATCTCCAGTCTTCTTTGTTCATCTCTGTCCTGCAGAAAAAGCAAGAATTATATGTCAATTAACTTGTATCGGCAATTAACCCTATATGCTAGTATCTATAAATGAAAATGAGCTTGAAATTAAAATTGTACGCATGATTGACAATTTTATTTTCGTATCTGATATCACAATGACTTCATTATGATATTATTATTTCACAAAATCGCATTACCCTTGAGAGAAAATCAGATGACTATAAGCCGAAGAAATCGAAAACTTCGCTATTATATCTGATTTTCCACTCGTATGATTTTTTCGTGCTCGTTAAACAGATATATTATTAATAAACTCTGTGAGTTTCATGTAGACTTGTTCAATTTTATCTCGTTTAAATGTTGGATCAGCAAAGATATTTTTTTTTTATTCATTATGAATCCTCAAGATAGTAAACTCACCCTGTATACCTACGACCATTGTGAGCAACCATTTCAATATATTAAATACCATTGTGTGTAGTTTGCCCGCTCCTATTACTGTAAAAAGTGTGGTTTTTAAGTGAGATTCATATCTTTTGTGTGCGTGATAGGAATAACTGTATTTCTTAATCTTAATAAGAAACCTCTTCTAATTGTATGATGATACTATTATATTCAAATGGAATTACTGATTAGAATGGTGTGCATATGGCGTGTTCCAATAAAAAAACTTTCAACAAAATATAAGAATAGATCAATCAATAAAGTCCAATTTCAATAAATCGCCCTGTATGTTATTGTTCTTATTTTCATTTTAGTCTGGCAATGATCAAGTCATCACATGCATGTGTTTAGTGTATAATGTGTAACTATAAATTGAAATTTCTAGCTTTCATTGGTGGGAAGTCACTTGAGAAGTGACAGTTCTGAATGAGTCGATGAGATGCATTGCATTCAAAATGTTCAATAACATTACCTTCTCATGAATCTAGATACTCTTTTGACTAGCGCAACAAGAATATCATGGAACGATATTCAATTGTTTGAGAAGCCATTTGCAATAATATTATGTCTAGAAATTTCAAGCAAATAAATAGGTGACGTGGTGACGAGTGTTATTGTGTGTTGTGTTGTGAGTTACAAAGACTATTTCGGACTCTCTCCACCTGCTTTATGCGGGCGATGAATCGCCAATAATTTTTCTAGACAGGGTGTACCTAGGTGTCTATTTTCATCATGGTACGTATGAATACTTTATTTACTGCCAATACTGCCTATTCGTATATCGAATGTTTTCACCAGTTATTATTAGGTATTAGTGTAACAGAGATTTGTTTTCTATAATAATACGACCTATCTGCGACCTATTAGCCTTTCTATTAGTGATCTATCCGGGTACATTAATTATATTGGTTCTACTACTAATTTAAATTACATGGACATGAGTGGTAAGTAGCCAATTCTCTATAATGACTAGCACAAAGCACAGCAATAATTATTTAACAACAAATCTCGTTCTCTAACTTTATTTATTAGACCTGATGAAGGTGACAAATGAATTTCTTCCATTTTACACTGCATTCCTGTTTAATGCTTTATAATTAACCTCAAAATATGAACAATAGACGCCGCACGTTGTATTATGAAAGTTCAAACAAACTGAAGCGCTTGCAATCCGCAGCAGCGGAAAGGGCTTGAAAGGGTTACGAAAAACGAAGGAAACTTATTTCGTGTTTTCAAATTTCATGCCGATGTGAAGAATTGAAGTTTTAGTAACAAAAACACTCCAGAAAACTTGTTATGAGCTCCCTCGTCCAACCAACGGTGGAAAATTTCATGAAAACTCTGTAAAAATGTAATACAGGTTTTGCGTGATTTCAAACTGCATACCATTATAGAGATAGGTACTTCATTTGTATGAATAATCGATAGGACGATAGGAGATAATTTGGCAGGCACACCAGGATTTTGCAAAATAGAGACGTGCATGACGAAAGTTGCAAAAAACCTATTCGTTCGTTTTTTTTTCTTCAAAAGCAGGGAAATATTAGAAAATTGACAGCTTTTCCCATACATATCACAATTATTATTCTCAATTTCTGAAATGAAAGTACTTCTGATTTCATTTTTGTCCTAGAATGCATTTGTACCAGATAAACGTATCATATCTTTCAAAATTGGGGTAGAATAAAAAAATGCTTCAGACAAATTTTTTTAGTTTTGTCCTGCTCTTCAATAATAAGATATGAAACATTGATCCTGCATTTAACCTGAAAATGAACATATAAGGTGGGAAAATGATATCAGTGTTCTACTATTACTTTGAAATGAAACTTCGACGCTCTGCTTTGATTCTAAAATGCAAACTATTTGGGACATATGGCTGTCTCAAGTAAAATAAACCACATGTCATTTTCATTTTCAAAAACGAATTAACTGAGAACAAAAATGGGAAAAATAAACGAGCACATTTTTCGAATAACCTCCGAAATCCACCAACTACTTACATTATCGTGTGGTTACTATGGCTGGTAAACATTATGCAAAACGCCCACCACAGAAAAAAATTATCCCACGTTTCTCGACTGGACAATCATCTCTGTGGCCCGGAAAGGAACTGGCCGCAGATTGTCGGCATGTGACGTCAGAATAAATCAAGAATAAATCTAATTATTTCGCCGCGTTTCGTCACATTGAAAGGATGGAAAATATTGCGTTGATCAGAATATCGGTTACGATATTATTCTTACGTGGTACACGTGGGTTATACAAATGGAAATTGGAGTCACAACTCGCCATTGATCGATACATTCTCGTTGGGCTTCCGGGCTTTCGAAGATTATGCTTTATTACTATTGTGAGAAAACGGAAATCGAAATTTCCCGATTTTTTCATGAGTCGTGAATTCAACTTGTACCCACAATTTGCAAGAAAAATCATTTGAAAGAAGATTGAAAGGGAAATCTAGAAGAACTGATCAAATTTTACTCAACAGTGCGTTTGAGCGTTGCATTTTTAAATCAAAACATAATCTTGAAGTATATTTTCAACATATTTTTTCCACCCCAAGTTCCGATTTTTGACGATTTGGTTGAATAAGGCATTTGCAACAACACTTATATAGTTTCCAAGTCAGCTACCCCTTAAGGGCTACATTCTCCATATTAATTGCTTACAACATGTATGTAGATACAGGGTGAGTCCTAACTATCGAGACATGGGCTGAGGGCGGATTGTTTGGACCAAAATATGGTGATAGGACCAAAAAATATGCCTCAATAAAAAATTGCCATGGAAAAAGATACAAGGCGTTTCAATCGAGAGAGTATTATAGTCGATACATTCGCACTACTGACAAAAAATGTAATTAACCAGCAACAATTATATGCCAGTCCAAATCATCTCATCATGAATGAAATAATATTTGAATCCCCTATCAAGATTTGAAACTGTTCAATTGCGTTTTTCTTGAAAATGGACGAAAATATCGTGTTTCGTCATATTTTTCAATCAAAATCACTGGAAAGTTTCGTCAAAAGAAGTTATCAGTCGATTTCATCATCAAAAATCATTCACTTGGAACCCCCTGTAACCAACAGTAGAATAATACATAAAATATTATTTCCTGTATGAAATAATGCTTCTGTGCCGATTTTGATGACAATTGATAAATATACAGTGAAATTATTAGTGAAAAATGAACAGAAATATTCAACTTTAACGCCCTGTATCTTTTCTCCCAGCAATATTTCATTGAGGCATATTCATTTCTATCGCCATATTTTGGTCCACACAATCCGCCCTTAGCCTATGTCTCAATAGTTATGACTCAACCTGTATATCTGTTATGATGATGATAATAATATAGAAAAATTCCTATTCGGAAGTTAACCACAATAAAATTCCGTACACACAAATCATATCAAAGGAGGTGGAGTAGATCAGTTGGAATAAGTTCTATTTGTAACCAAGTAATTTCGGGGGACCAGGGTTCGAATCCCGTGGCGGTCGTCTTTTTTTATCACGTTGGCTACCATATGAGTCTCATGTGATGCACACTCTCATTTGCTCTACAAACCACCGTAAAAAATCGCATACTTCCTCTCTGTACCAAGTGAAGAATCAAACTCAAAACGTAGCCTCTCGCTACAAGATGTCGCTATATTGTATTTTGAAGCAGATGCCTTTATATCGATAGAGTTTGCTGAAAGATCACTGGTGATTCACATGGTACATGAATGAACCATTTCATCATATGATTATAGGGAACTCCTTATATTTTGTTGTTTTTTCTTCGATTATAAGCGCCTTCATTCAAACCTTCATAAGAAAATAATGGACAATTAACACGAAAAACGTATTTCGAGGAGTACGCAAAAATTCAAAGATGGCAGCAAAACATACAAAATTGGTTACCACCTTATATGCGGAATGCCCCGAGAAACCTTCATACTGTTTGGACTGTTTTCAGAAAAAAAAAAACATCAGTATTTTCTTTGTACAATGATTATTGATGATTATTTTTTACTTATGAGTGTAACAATTTCAATAAAAAATTGAAAAGAGAGAGTGAGCAGTGCGTCTTTTCATCAGAATAATCCAGTCAATTTCTATAGGCATTTTCCAGATCTATATGTATCACTGGTGATACCCACTTCAACCCGATATTATTTGGTTCATACCTGTACCATACCCACAATCTAATTCCTTCGTTTATACACTAGGCTTCTCTACAAGCATTCAAATAATATGTGTTCATTATCATTGGTGATACATAAAGTACAGAAGTGAACTATGAAAAAGCATCACCGGTGATACATAATTATGGTACCCTGGGTCAGAATGTTGAAATCAGGCTTGGTAGTCAACGTGTTATTTGATTGCATCGGCAGGCATGTACTGACCCTGGTACTCGCCACTGGCCAACGACTCTGGCCTGCGTATTATGGGCCTACCAAAATTATTTGCTGGTTGACATTCTGTTAGTTTGAGAAGTACAAGAGTAAACAAAAACTCACCAGATAGCAATCGATGGGCTTCTCCCGGTTGACCTTGTAGGACTTCTGCAATTCGGTTTGCTTGAGCGCATGCGCGATATGGAGCGCGCTGGCATCGAATCTGCCGTACTGGTACGAGGGGGACGGTTCGCGGTGGTGGTTGGGGTGGTTATTGGGGTGGTTGTGGTGGGGGTGGTAAGAGTTTGGGCTGTGCTGCAGGTTGCCGGACTGCGCCACAGGGCTGGCATGGGTGGGGTGGTGAGATAGGCCGTTCGTTTGAGTACGCACGTGGACAGCTGGAAAATACACAGAATTGGAATTTTGATCATAGAATACAGGGTGTTCGGAAAGGTCATGTCGTAAAAGATAGGACTTATATAGTGAGCCGAAATAACCCTAACAACACAGGGATGTCCTCGGTGCGTCCCGTTTATGTCCCGCGGTACAAGGAAATGATTGGGACATCCAGGGCATGTCCCGCCAGTAGTTGTCCAGTGGACATCCCACCCGGTACATCCCTAGGTTATCCCATTCGTGTCCCTGGAATATCTGATATCCATTCTTCACATCAGAGAGTCATTCAATATCATCAAAATATTGAGTCGAATTTTTTCGAAAATGTATTTCTTCCGGAAAATAATTGTGATGAAAATAAAGAATATAGTCTCAAAACTTCTCAAGAAATGACCATTTTTCGCAAACAGAGATCGTAAATGCATAATGCCCCTCATTTTCAAACACCCAAGAATGATAATAATTATACCCGAATCCTAACAGTTTTATTTATCCAGGTTTCTGTAGTTGTCCTGTTTATAAATCTGTTCAATACATGAATCTTCAGAAGGCATATTGGCCAATGGAGTAAGGTGCGTGCCTGATAAGCTGAAGGTCCCGGGTTCAATCCCAACTAGACCTACTTTTTTTTTCTTTTGTCGAAGGGATGTCCCTGGGATATCCTTGGGACGTCCTAGGGATATCCCTTCTTTGTACTCGGTACATCCCAGGGACGTACCAGGAGGGACATCCCTTGGATGTCCTTTTTGTCTGAAAGCGGATGTCCCTGGGACGTCCCTAGTATGTACTTTGTCCCAGAAAAGATATCCCTGGGATGTCCTTATTCGAAATTAGGGACGTCCCTGGGAAGTCCCTAGGATGTACTCGTGTTGTTAGGGAATGTTGGTACTTTATGTCTATCGCACTTTGTTACGGGGTTATTGACCTTGAAAGTTTCTGCAAGTCCATACATAATATGCATACTCATCGTTACTAAACTCATCCATGCATGGTGTTACCGAAGTATTGAATACTACCAAAATAACCTGATATCAATTATGACAATGACTGCAACTACCATGATGTTATTGAATAAATAGAGTTATTATTTCCTTTGAAACAGTTAGGATGTGTTTCCGAAGTACGATTTTCTCTAGATATCGATTAAAAAAAAGACTATTTTTGTAAAAAAAAATATGAAGGAATCAAACAGTGAAAGCAAAATGACAAATTTCTCATCTCTGTTAAAAATGCCTCCATCAAATAAAAAAAGTTTGCCCCAAACTGTATAAAACATAATCACTGAACAGCCGCTTAAATATCGAAAGGAGCATTAGTATGAGTTACTTTCGAGGTTAATTTGGTTGCACGATTATCATTCATACCGTTTAAAACTTATAAATAAGAATAGTAGATTGTTTCATTAAGATCAATAGTTACACTATGTTTGACAAGCGAATTTTGCGAATTTTCTTCAGATATGATCATAGAATGTTCTGTTCGAATATTCTAGGCATGTTTGCCAGGTATGTTCATAGCATTCCTTATTTAGATACTCTGGAAAAGAGAATAATTCTTGTTTTCTATGAACACATTATGTTCTGACTTGCTTCGTGTTTGCTATACAGTAGGTAGTAAAATTTTCCAGAAGAAAAAAAGATTTTTCAATGATTATTCCAAATCCTTGTTGCTATTTTGATAAAACTTGTCACGCTCATCTCCGATAGCCATAGGGTTTAGTGAATCCAAATTCACTTTCTCCAATTACTTTTTTTCCGAGCTTTTTTCCTACTCTACCCAAGTTATAACTCAGAATTTTGAAGTTTTTATTTTTCCTTCCAGGGCTTATATTATCCTCCGATACAGGGTGTCCCATAAAGACCACGTCAAACCTAGGGAGAGTGTAGATTAAAGGATAACCCACCTGCTACGACAAAATTCCCATTATAAAAGTCTTACCGTTTTCGATATTTTGTTGTTGTTGAAAATATTGAATTTTTGCCCCTTTCAATAGCTTTGTCTGCACGCGGTTGGTATAATTTTACACCTTCCTGGTTCATCTTTCCAGTAAATATTGCTGAAGAATGATTTCAACGGCGTATACATTAAAAACATTCTCCGAACATTTTGAAGGGGGGCTTTGAGAAAGATTTTTATTGGAACCATTGGTAGTTGATATTTACAAGAAAGTAAAAAAACTCGGAAACGGTAAGACTATCATAATGGGAATTTTGTCATATGCAGGTGGGTTATCCTTTGATCTACATTCTCCCTAGGTTCGACGTGGTCTTTACGGGACACCCTGTATATCGCTCCCTAAAATATTTTCCATGCGCTTTAAAACACCCTGTATACTGAAAATATTCCTTGATCATTCTGAGGATGTTCTATATATTATTCATAGAATGTTCTGAGATTAATGTTCTGAAATATATTAAGAGAACGTTCTTGGAACGTGAATTTCCGTCCCATTTGATGCATGTTCTTAGAATATTCTCAGACCTTCAGAACACCTTGTGTGAACATTCCGAGAATATTCGAAATCTTCCACGGGAATATCATAAGAAAGTTCTCAGGATCACTTTGTGCTGCCTGGGTATATGGTGAAATAAACAAAGTTATCATGCATATTGGCATCGGTTTTCATGAGAGCTCTCGGAATCCATAACAGCGATAGCTTCAAATAACGCTGAAGTAGAGTGGAATCAAATTGTAACTTACGTTTCACTAACCTATCCTGATACGTGACCGTGTTAATTGTATAATTATTGAACTAATCAGAGAGTTTTCGTATATGACATCAAAATTTACCATCATATTTCCATGGAATTAAAGAAAGCTGACTACCCGATAACATCTAGTTTTTTAGCAACAGAAAGTTTCGACAATAGAAATGCTAATAGCCTAAATAATAAACTGATAACAATTGTTATAGAACCTCGTGCTTCGGATAAATTACAATGCACATTGTCAAAACGCACTCTCTAAAGTGACCTTGAATTATGTATTTATAAATGTCTCATTATACCATTGAAGACCATAAACATTTTGATTGTTTCCAAATTACTCAAAACTTATTTCAGTGAATTATTGGTTGAAAAATTAGGTGAAGTGGTCTAATGTAATGACGTCATGAGATTGGCAGCCATTAAATCTTCGGACTTGATTTTTTCCCATTATTTAGACATACAATGAAGCAAGCTTGTTTGTCAATACCAGTAGACCGAGAGCTACCGATGGGACATGATTCACCGAAACAGCACGACAAAATAATCTGAATCTTCTGATTTCCGTGAGCTCACCTCCATCTGTCCTCCAAGTTCCCCTGATCTGCTCGTTGACGGAATTCTAGCTCAAATATATGATTATCATAGTAAACTCAGAATGTGATTTTGATAGATCTAAAAAATTGAGCACGTTTAACATTTCCAGCAGACTTAGAGCGACCGATGGGACATACTGGATCGAAACCGTACCCCCAAAAATCAAAATCTCATAATTATGAGACCTAAAAGTTCTCTGATCTGCTTGTTAACAAAATTCGAGTCCTTATTATGTATACTAGGTGACCTAGAACTAATTTACCACCCTAAATCTTCGTAGCTAATTTGAATGGAAAACGATTACTTTCCTGGGTATTAGCCACGTCGAACATTGAATTATATCTGTTGAATATCCAAAAACAGAGCATGAGAAATCAAAATCCTCTGAAATTGAGAATTGACATTATCTCTCAAATCGAGTAGAATAATATTATGTATTATGATATAAAAATTTCTTTCCACGTCCTGTATGATGAATATCAATTTATCATACATCCAAAAACATCAACTTTATAGTAAATAAAATAAATAAATTATAATATATGAATAAAATATTTGAGTTAATAATTCCGCCGAATAAGTCGTTGGCCTATTCTTAGTTCTAAATGACGTATATTATACCTATAGAATATTTGTTGGGGCGCGACCGATGGGATACGATGGACCGAAACAGCACCCACAATGATCGAAAAATTTCCCTGAGCTCACCTTCTCCGTCTGTCCTCCACGGTCCCCTGATCTGCTCGTTGACGAAGTTCGAGCTCTTGGGCACGTTCAAGGCCGACCGGATTCCGACCGAGGTGCCATCTAGATGGCCCGGCCCAATCTTCGGCACGTGACTGTTGCAGTACACCTCCTTATCCTCCTGCCGGTGCTGGTTGTTGTAGTACGTTTTGAGGGTCAATTTCGTGCCGCAGACAGCGCATTTGAAGCAGCCGCTGTGGAAGAAGGTGAAGTCTTTCAGAGGACCGATGCGGTCCACTTGGTAGACGGTCTCGTTGCATCGCAGGCAAGTGCTTTCGTAGAAGTTGGGTCTGTACATGGATTTGTATGAGTTTTGGTGCAGCATGTTTAATTTTTCCCTTCTACTGGCTTTGGTTCCTCCTGATGACTGTCCTGAAATGGTACCTACAGGTGTATTATGAGTATTGAGAAAATTATGGTAGATTTCTGGGAGTCCTGAAATGATAACAGATAGATGTAATACACGTTGAATTATGGTGGCAATGAGAGTTGACTTCTTGCAAAACAATGAAAGAATGGTTCTTGAAATTAGTTTTTCAGGTTTCAGACCTGTGGTTTTCAAAGTTCATCAAAGTTACCCAAAAGGGTTTCTGGAATTTACTGAGAAATGGAAAAATTGTAGAGTACTTCAAATTGTGGGAGTTCTAGGGCAGCATGTTGTCAATTGTTTTTACTGGCTTGGGTTCCTGGCTGTCCTGAAATGATACCTAGAACCTCGCCTAGAACAAGGCATGGAAGTTCTGAAAGAAAGTATTTTTCATTATTTTTCGAAGAATTAGAGCAGGATGGATTACGAAGTGGGGTGTATTTTATTATGGGAGTGGTGATGCAGCATCATGTTTTCAGGTGTCAATTTTTTCAACTGGATCAGTTTTCTGGCTGACCTGGAATGATAACTATAGAAATAATATGACAAATGTTGTGAAAATATGGGTAGATTTCTTGCGATAATCTGGAGAAGAACTAGAAAAATAGCTCTCATAATCATAGTTTCAGATCTCTGGTTTCCACGAGGGTTTCCAACATCTTCTGGAAAATCAGAAAAAGGTAGAGAACTCGGTAGAGAATGATATGTTGTCTGGTGTCGATTTTTCATTAGCTCAGTGCGGTGTCCTGGCAGTTCTAAAATGATACACGCGGGATTTATCATGAATATTGTGAATATAAGGGTAGGTTTCTTGGGAAATATTGAAAAAATATTTCTTAAAAACATTTTTCACTGGTTGTTGTAGTACGTTTTGAGGGTCAATTTGGTGCTGCAGACAGCGCATTTGAAGCAGCCGCTGTGGAAGAAGGTGAAGTCTTTGAGAGGGCCGATGCGGTCCACTTGGTAGACCGTTTCGTTGCACCGCAGGCAAGGGCTTTCGTAGAAGTTGGGTCTGTACATGGATTTGTATGAGTTTTGGTGCAGCATGTTTAATTTTTCCCTTCTACTGGCTTTGGTTCCTCCTGACTGTCCTGAAATGGTACCTACAGGTGTTATTCACGGTGTATTATAGATATTGAGAATATGAGAGTAGATTTATTGCGAAACAATGGAAGAATGGTTCTTGAAATTTGTTTTTCAGGTTTTTTTGGGGGCGGTACATTGTAGAGCGAGTTTTGTTGGTGCAGCCTGTTGGGCGATTGTTTTCTTCTACTAGCTTAGGTTCGTCCTGGATGTCCTGAAATGATTCCTATATATGAGTATTATGAGTTTTGAGGAAATAATGGTGGATTTTTTTTTAGAAAATGGAAAAAAGGTTCTTGTAATTTTGATTTCAGGACTGTGGTTATTGAAGACCATCAAAGCTATCAAAACGGGTTTCTGAAATTTACTGAAAAATGAAAAGATTGTAGAGTACCTCAAATTGTGGTATAGTACTAGGGCAGCATTTTGTCAATTTTTTCTACTGGTTTGGGTTCCTGGCTGTCCTGAAATGATACCTAGACTAGGGCATGAGAATTTTCAAATAACGGATTTTTCATTATTGTGGGATTTGAGAGATTGAGATTGTAACGTTTTCAGAGATTTTCTACTTGTTTTAAGGATCCTATCTATTCTGGAGTGATGCTTATATAATATCAATATTCTGAGTGCTCGTCTGAGTGCAATGTTATACATTCATATGATGGTGAAAAAATTCAAGGGCATATTTCTTACGGGAATTTGAAAGAAAAGTTATCAATTATTTTCCGAAGACCCATAATATTCGTGATACAGGAGTCTTTCTGAAAAAATATAAATAGGAACGAACTTGGTCGAGGACTTGGTATACACCTCGGTATACACGCTGTTTCAATATTATACCTCAGGTATTACCTACGGTATTTATCAATGAACTACAACCTTTTACGCGGACTTAATTTTTACGGTTTTTCCATTTCATTTTTGACTAGCTATCGAATATAAATTATTTATTGGTTTCCAGCAATTCTAATCAACATTCCTTGAATGATGAACGATCATGATAAATTCTTCAGTACCTAAATTCCAAAAATCTAGCATAATTTGTTGCAGAGAATACTTCTAAAAATCAGGTACGTAGTTGAAGAAACCATCATAATTATTCCGGATTAAATAAATCGATATAATATGAAGATAGTTATCTACCTCGATTCTTTTGTTATAGCGAGATGAAAGTTTGCATGCCGCTTTTTGAATGAGTAGGTACAACATGCTCAATAAAGAACTACATAAGCATAATTACATGGATCTAGTCATCAGCACAGAAATAACAAGATGATTTTTCTGTACACATATGATGCGATGCGAACAGTGAGGTCATGCAACTCTTTTGTACAGAAATCTATATAGAATAGAAAGTTGCGCCTTACGTATGTATACGTATCCGGTCAGAATAAGTTCAGGCGAAATATTAAAATTTGTTGATAATGGGTTGGCCAAAAATGAAATCGAGTTTTTATTACGTTTTCCTTCCACTATAGATTAGATTAATTATCAGGGGTCATAACATGTACCTGATAGACATAACAAAACGTTTGCAGTAAGTTCATATACATGAACGAAATAACAATTTTTTTAGAATTTTGAATGATTATACGTAGGGGTGGGCAAATTTATCGATATATCGACCCGATAGCCTGTGTCACCCGGTATATTTTGCGAGATATTCAAGTAGGTACATCTACTGAAAATATGAGAAGTTTTAGCGAGAGTAGAGATAGGTAGGTATACATACATATACAGGGTGGAGACTTTTATATTTATCCACAAGCAACGCAACATTATTGGTTGAGAATAACTCACGACATGATCATCATACAAAAAATTATTTCCATCTGCCCAATGTTCGATCAAGAGTATCTCAGAAATCTGCATGTATATACTTGGATCGAGAGTATATAACATTCTTACTGAAGAACTGAAATTGATAGAAAGAGTGCTCACATTCAAAAAAGAGATGAAATACTTCTCATCGACCTTTGTCTCTATACAGTTAATTCGAGCGTTAATTAATTTGCTTGTCAATTTTTTAATAGTTTTTGATAAAATGTTCTGTTTGTCTATTATTTATACACTTTACACAAACCTTGTTTGTACCTGACTTGTCCAGGAGGTCATTAAATAAAATTATATTGTATTGTTGCATTGTATTTGGCGAGCGATTTGAAGAATATAACCCTTCAGGGGTAGCTAGAATCAACCCCAACATAATTAGTTCGAATGCAACCCCATGGCTTGCGACCGCTCATTGGAAAGCTGGTTGCAAGAGGAATCCTGCATACTGATCATATTTCAGTTAGCAGTACGTTTGGGGGATCACATAAAATCAAAATATAATTTCGAAGTTCAATATATTTTTAACGTATGTTCATGAAGATTTCGACTCGGATTTCGACTTTTAGTGAAAGTGATGTAATTATACAGCATTTATCCACCAGTTTGCAATAACAGTTCGTTTCAAACTGTGCATGAATAAGGCAAAAAAACTAATTTCATTTCGCGTCTCTATAAAAACACTGGAATAGAAAATAGCAGGTAGCAGTTGTGACAAAAAATTGCCATCAACTGTTCAACACACATTATGAAATTATATTTCAATTTTATGCAACCTGCAAACATATGATGGAAACCAAAAAATTTACTAGTACGCTGGGTTCCTCTTTCCACCAGCTTTCCAATGAGGGGTCACGAGCGATTGGGTTACATTTGAGAAAATCATGTTGGGGGTGATTTCAGCTACCCCTGGAGGGATATATTTTCGATATTACTTGCAATAGGTAGGTAAATATATTAAATCGTTGACGTATGTCGGGAAATTTTAGAAAAAATATTCACCTCCTCGCCAACGAATTTATTTGTTATATAACTACGAAATATGCAATGCAATCATATGAAAAAACAACTTATACGCATCTTGTATATCTGATAACTTATTGACTTTTTTGATAACTTATTCGAACTCATTCAATTCATACTTAATTCCGTTGATTTCATACCTATATTCATGAAATTTGAATTCACGAATTCTATGAATCATTACCTATAGCTTTTAGACCCTTTTATGTGACATTTACCCACTTTTGATCTTATTTAATATATATCGTACAGGGAAAACCTACAGGTGATCCTAATCCGGTTGTAATCTTTAATTTGAAACATTCTACCTACTAAGCAATACTAGCAATAGCAATAATGAAACTCATAATCACTTGAAGAATGCTATGTCAAATATTTTTTAATGAGACGTCAAAGCGAATCAGGTAGTGGGATGGTTTCATTCATCATAGATAGTGTTTTCTGGTCTGACCGAGAGTTTAAGTCTCCGGAAATGTATAGGATGTTCACTTCGCCAACTTTCATTTTCCACGAAAGCGAACATTTCGATTGACATCCTGGCAGGTGGCTACCAAAATCAGTTCTGAATCTGACACTATACAAGCTATAAAACTGAAAGCGCATTCCAACTCACATTATTCGAATATTTGACATCGCTGTTGAGCACCTGCGCCACACTTCACAAACACCCTCACAAAAATCGAGAGTATTTTTCTGACTAATTTCGAATCAGGCTAAAACAATTCACGCACACAATTCCGAGCCAAAAATGGCGACATTTCATTGGGAGCGCGATCTCGAGGAACACCTCATACCGTGGTGGCCATTTTGAACGTCGACACTCGGTATATACGAGGCGGAATCGTGTGCTTATCCGACCACGTTCACCTGACGATTGTATTGTATCCGAGTGTAGGTAATATGAAACTACGAAGGTCAGTCCCCGCCATCAGAGAAATCCGCCGCATTAGGTAGTACAGGGTGGCCCGAAAGCGTGACAAAGTCCGATTTGTATACACAGAAAAAAAGGAGTTGTTGCATTAACAGGTTATTTGTGTTTGAATTAATATTTGATATAATTGATATTCATCATTCAGGACGTGGTAAGAAATTCTGAATCAAGAGAACCTAATAACGAATCTGCGATTGAAGGTCTATAAAAATAACAAGCTTTCATCGTTCATGATGTTTCAATCCCTTGATTGTGTGAAATTATTGAAAAGGAATATTCTCAGATAGAATTATGAACATAAAAATTGATATATACCATATATATATATATATATATACAGAGTGAGTCAATGGTGTGTTCTCCTCCGATACTAGCCAAACCGTCAGGTATATAAAAAAATTTCGAAAACAACAGTTATAGAATTTTATGAGAGCTTTCACCTAAATTTATTTTCATATCTAAAAGATGTTCGGATTCCAAGATATCAGCTGTTGATGGGTGTTCTCAAATGGGACACCCTGTATATTATAGCATTTTTAAATTTTTCATAAAGAGCTGATTTCATCATGGATCACACTCCGACCCTGAAAACCCTCAGATAACAATTCAGAGTAGAATCGGATCATAATTATGTACCTTGTCCGCAATATTGGTTCCGCCATCTTGAATTCTCGAATTTTGATGAAAGAATCATAATCTCCTACCCCGAAAGTCCCAGATACTGATTTTGAATAGAATCGGATCATATAATTACAAAACTCGTCGACATACTGATTCCGCCATCTTGATTTTTCAAATTTTGACGGAAGATTCATAATCTCCGACCTCAAAATCCCCCATATAACAATTTTGAATGGAATCGGATCATAATTATGTAACTCGTATGCTATATTGGTCCCGCCATCTTGAATTTTCGAATCTTGATGAAAAAATCATAATTTCTGACCCAGAAAACCGCTAGATACCAATTTGGGATAGAAACGGATCATAATTATTACACAACTCTTTCGCCATAATTATTGGATCCGCCACTTTGAATTTCCTAATTTCGACTAACGAATCATAATCTGTGACTCCGAAAACTCCTAGATAAAATCGGATCATAATTCTAAAACTCTTCCGCCATATTGGATCCGCCATCTTTAATTGAAGAAAAAAGTAAAAAAATCAATATCATAAAAAATGTTTCAGGCGTTATTGAGTTATGAATGGAGTAAATAACACGAGTTTCTTTTTATATAGACAGATTGTGAGGAATAGGGATAATATATATACAGGGTGATTCAAAATCGATGTTGATATTCTAAGAACATATTGTTGGGATTGAAATAAGGATTTTTCTTCATATAAGCATAAGTCCTGAAATGCACTCCCTCCTAGCTACAGCAACTGTAAGTCAGGTAAAAATGATTATCTGAAATTGTGACTAAAATAATGGATCAAATCATCTGAAAATTGGCATGCCCCTGTCTCATTTGACACTTCATTCCCGTTTTGCTTCAAAAATGTTTTGGGGGAGTTGGCAGGGGGTCTACACTTTTATTAACTCGGAGGAAAAAGTTTTATTCTGATCTCAACAATACTCCCTTCATATATTTACATCGATTTCTGAATCACTCTGTATATAATGAGATAACGAAATTTAGAACATGTATATTATATTTGTGGCAGATTTGGAAATGTTGAAAATTTTCCGGAATATTGATCACGGGCGTGAGAAATAGGTGGGGGGCTAGGGATATTTTCTTCCCCTAATTTTTTTTTCTATGAAATTTTTGGCAGTTTGACCAGAAAATATGAACGCTGCATCTTTCATATACGATGGTGATCGTATGTTGGAACGCATTTGAGACTGCTATTTCAGACGCGTTATTATGATCATAATAATTTCAGTTACCTACACTTCTTTTAGCCAACATACGCAATGACTGTAGCTATAGGAGGAAGTGGCATTTCAGGATGATTGTTTTTATGAAGAAAGAGTCTTATTTTGATTGCAATAACACCTCCTTAAAATATTTACATCGAATTTTCAATCACCCTATATCATCCTAATGCACCTTTCCATACGCAATCGGCTTATCAGTGATTACGATTCATACAGGTTTGGATGCATTTTTTCTGTTGAATGAAAGACTTTTTGACAGAGGTGACAAATTTGACATTTTGCTTCCTTCGTTTGATCCCTTCATCTTTCTTCTAGAAAAATAGAATTATCTATTTCAATCGACATATTTTTATTCATGTTAGTCATGTGGTGATGAAACTCCACTCATTTTCAATGTATGGATAGGACTAATTGACAACTGCTCAGTTATGGATCTCATATCATTTCTAGAACTTTTAATGTAAATAAATATCCCACTTTTTTTTGCAAGAACATCCAGATCTGTTGGTTGAAGAGGTCCTTTTGAAGATGTGGCTGATGCACGATGGTGTGCTTCCTCATTTCGACAAAGCTGTAAATAGTTATTTAACCAACTAGTGTATTAATGAGGGCGATTAATGATCGAGATATTTTAACGTGCGAGCGAAACGAGCGTTTTAATGTTCGAGATCATTAATCGCCTTTTAATATACAAGTTGGTTACAAAATTTTTCCGTCGACTATATTTCTATATCTCATAGTGACATTTGATATTTGTCTAAATGATAAACATAGAAAATAAATTCCTTGTGTTAGAAAACAGGGATTAAAATCGTTTCATAAACTTGGAAAGGCGAACCCGTTAACGGAAAATCTTCGATGAAATCCATATTTTCGATTTAAATGCAGATTCCGTTAGTTACAGCATAAACAATGAATGCACGCGGTGTATGTTTGGTTGCCTATAAAACAATCATGCATCAATAGGCAAATCGTCCATTGATAGGGGTCATTAATGAACGATTTCATATACATTAAACTTAGTCGTTAATACGAGGTCGACGGAAAAGATCATTTGAACATCACATTTCCCCATGGTCCTTTTCCATGAACACCTCGGTCACCTGATGTTAATCTACTTGTTTTATTTCTTTGGGCAAGGGCTCTCTGCTGGGGTATTTAAACATTCAGAAACTGAAATACTGATAAAGTAAAGGCTTCATTTGGTTTGATAAAATTCTAAAATATATTACAACAGATAAATAACATCGATATTGATATTGGCCACATAATAACAGTGTCAACGTTAATCTAAGCGTTTTCCCTAATATCTAGGTTTAAAAAATAACAACAGAATTGATTGATTATCAACATCAGAGGAAAACAGTGGGTACATATTATGGTGAACATTATATTATGCTAAGACACACTCTTCACCTAAGTAACATCAAGTATAAATTGATGAAACAATAACCATATTATATATTCTTATGCAAACAAAAACTAAGATGATCAACAATTATTGGGCTTCAAGCTGAAGTGTAAGTGTAGCTATATTAAATTTTCACATTATTATATATAAGTAAATGTCATTCGTCGGGATTTGGTACATTAGGGTGAATAATACTTATTTTGAATAACATTTTCCTCACTTAATCATAAAAATATTGCAAAAAAATAGTAAGAAATAAAGGTTAATAAGTGTGTTCTCTGACATTTTCGAATATTTTATTGTATTCCTTAATGGAACTTTGCTGAACTTGTTCCACTTCTCGAAAATACATCTTGACTTCTAATCATTGATCAACCAGCACCTAATAGTTATTTATGTATCGAGGGCGTGAAGTACCTATATGCTTTTATGGACCGCAGCGTGTAAGTAAGAGCCAGAGCGATAGCGCATATAGGTCCATAAAAGCAAGTTACGCCGGAAATACATACACCATTTCATGTACGACCGTTTCAGATATTTATTTACTGTCAATATAGAATTAGTCGTGCATAGGTTTGTTCTTCTCTGACGTCAATATAATAACAACTATTGTTAATTATACCATATTATATTGAACTGTAATTCAGAATAATGATACTTGCATTTCCAGAATCTATACACGGTAATCAAAAAAAATATTTGGGTTCATATATACATTCATAACTGTCTAATGCCACTTTATTAATAATTTTTAGTAATACCCACATGGTTGTAAATAGAACTGGAATATTAAACGTGAATTCGGAAGGGGAATTCAAATACACAAGGTGTCCCAGAACAACGTGCCGTGAATTCTACAGGGTGAACTAGAGAAAAAAATAGTCCGATTGAATATTTCAAAATCCTTTGAAAGTACTGCTCTCAAATTCGTAGGGCAATTCACTATCGTGGATGTGCATAAAAAACATGTCATATCATTTCAATCAATATATATATATATATATAGCGAGATAAGTATTTCGGAAATTTTCTCTAACTGCAGTTTTATGTTATAATTTCTCTTGATTTCCGGATATCTATTATAATTAATTTTGATGCTTCTCCATATTTGTTTATGATGTGTCAGGACTATCATGTTTTGCAAGTTTTCACCTCATTTGAGCTGAGATATTGTGTGATTCCAACTTCCCGCCCTTGGCTCATAACAGGAGAAGGAAAACTGCAAATGCAGATTTGGCAGCAGGAACCCACAAAGCACCAGTACTGGAGACATCCAGAATAGGACCGTAGATGTACTAGGTACGTGCTGGGGATGTCCAGATTTCGCGCATTTGTACATCCCCAGTACGTCCATGCAGGACCATGAATACCTAAATCAACGTAAATTCGACCTTTTTTACTCAGATAGTTGAGAAAGAGCTTTAGACAAAGTAGAACATGTCTTATTTTGAATGAAAAATTGAAAAAAAAAAACGCGCTCTCACCAGGGATCGATCCCAGGACCTACTTATTACTCTACAGAACTCTTATGATTTATCAGTATACAACAAGACAAAGAATTAGATGATCACGGTAGAGAATACCTAAATAGATGTTTCCTGATTAGGCTCGGCCAGTAAAAAATGAATCGTGAAAATTGTATTATATTCATGTTTGCAAGATATCAGAGATCGAGGGTAGAAATTATATGCAATGATTTCAATTATCATCATACAATTTATCCACTCCCATGCACAAAAAGTCGATAACGTTCAGAGCTGGACGTACTCAGTACATCGGAATCGTACGCACCCAGTATGTCTAGAAATGGACGTTTTCAGTACGTTCAGACCTGAATCGAACCTAAAACGAACGTTCCAGAACGTCGAGTGCTATATAGGAATTTGAATAGCTGTGTTTAAGGTATATATTTCCGTACTTACACATTTATTTTTTCCACAAAGTTAAAATTTTTTGATCAAATCCAGGAAGAAAATCTTCATTTAAACAACTTTCATCCAAAAAGTTTTTTTCATCTTTATTTGGTTGGTTTGACTCTGAAGTTGGCATTTTCAAATGAATCACAAGCTAAAGTCGGCCATGGTTTGGGAAAAAATATGAATTGGGATATATTTTGCATTCATATTAGAACCGATTGAAACTTACATCCTGCCGACTTGATTTTTATTATGGCGAACATTTTTTACGGGTATAACAACACTTTTAGGATGAGAGTTTGTTTAAAAAAATGTTATTTTTCTTAACTTAATGAAAAGCATATTTTTCCTGACGACATTTCCGCAATTTCGAAAAGCGTTGCAAAATGTTTGAATACGAAACAATATACCTTACAGCTATTCAAATTCCCTCTGCCAATTTACAGTTCTCCTTTTTCTGTTATAAGCCGAAGATGGGGACTTTGAATCAACCTGTTCAGTTTTGAAAGAAAGTCACTAAATGATATTTCCATACAGGTTATCCTGAAAACTCTTGGAACTATTTAGAAAAAACTCATCAGGTATATAGTTATCATGTCAATAATGAAATGATAATTTTGACTGTATGTCTGCTCGCCGTATAGTATAACGTTCAGTTCTGATTCAAATTTTGTACCCAAATGAGATCTCGAATGGAATATATTTATTCAATAACTAATGAAATGACGTTAAAAAAAGAAAAAAAAAAAAGAAAACTGGTTGCGACATTCAACAGTTACAAAATTCCACTTTAAGAAGGAATGGATTTTTATTCAATTTCTTGAGCAATTTGAATAAAACCTTGATACAGAATAGGAATGAAGGTATCTTTAAGATTGGTAACAAAATCTTTATCATTAGATGGTAAAGATTGGTATGTCCAATTTTCATTCAATTGATCAGAGATTGATGTCCATCATTTGACCATGTAAAGATTCCAACATTCTCTAAGTTGATGCATTTGAAAACATTGACTAAAGGACCCACCACTGAATACTCCATCTATACAATACTGGATTCCAAATTGAAAACTAAACATATCATAGATAACATCTTTGTCAATGGTCGCATAGGTCTATATTTTTCAGGGGATAACATTACAACTATGATAAAAATGTTCATTTTATAGGAAAAAATATTTTCGATATGAATGCTATGAGTATATTATATTACCGAATCTAGCACTACAAAAAGCGAACATAAAAATCTTTTGCAAAAACACACAAATCACAATTCCTCTCGTACTCTTGTGAATAAACACTCACTTTCTATATTTTCACAGACTATAACTATTTTAGATTAACTATACAGAGAAAAATAAAGGGTGTACTCTGTGTTACACTTGTATAAATAAATTATGTGATGAATATGTCCAGGAATGTTCCACGATAGATACAATTTCATAATGTTTGATTGGTAGATATACCGACCTACTATGAGATCAAATTCAATGGCCAATGAATAGAGTAGAGTCGGAGATTATGGAATATATCAGGTATAATATAATATATGGAATAGACTATTCTTCACGAAACTACGAGCGCCATCTTTTTCAATTTGTTATAATATCATTCCATTGAGTTCATAGTTGTTCCACAATCGTTTCTGAAAGTTGTTATAGTTAATTGAATCTCGGTGGTAATGAAATTATTTCGGTTAGATATAGCGCTCCTTTGAGATAATTTGTTTTTTTTTTTGACTATTTAACCTTCATAGTAATATAGAATGGAATAGTATTCCATATCACCCTACATAATTATTAATTACTTCGAAAAATTAACAAAATGAAAAACAATGCGAACCACAACTCCACAAAGTAAGGAGTGGAATGAGGAAGATGAAAAAATAATATGTGATATAGCAGTAAGAAGCAGATGAATGTATACGAAGCCTAAGATGCAAGCTTTGGGCACACGAAACTATGTGCCGATGTTGAGAAAGATAACTAAATTTAGTGTTGGTAGACATCAGATATAGCTGCTGAATGTATTTCATATTACCCGACCCTTTTTCGGCCAACAGAAATGTAGTATTTTTCAATAACCCAAAATATAATTTTTTTGTTCCGTTATCTGAGTTTGTCATCATAATTTGGTCTAATATATCTTTTGACAACACCATCACTATTTCAATTTTATATTTCAGTCAATACTTTCCGAAATCAGTCAAAAAATGAAAACGGTATTCCATAATGCCGACTTTATTCTACATTTTTCAAATATTGCATTTTCTCCAGTCAGTTCGGAATTTAGGAACAAGATTTATTGATGACTCTTCGAGTAGGTACATTTTTCAGAATGATCTCATTTTGAACAGTGGCTTTGAAAAGGTAACTACCTACTAATTTTCCCGATTTGATTGCTTATACTAGCTACAATCAGTATTCCTCAGTTATTCCTATCTTTTTTTCTTCTGAATGTTTTGAATTTGAGTTTCATGATAGAAAAAAATATCAAACAATATTTTTTCTCTCAAAATGTTGTGTGATGTATTGTGTTATTATCAATGTTGAGTTGTGGAATGTAGAACATTTCTGGCTAGACATATTGCCTAAAATCTATCCCTACAAACTAATCCTAATAATATTCACATTCATTTCAACAATCTTCAACATTACTAGGTATCACAAAAAATACGTCTCGTTTCAGAGATATTAATGTATGCAGTTCTTTGTCACTTTAGACATGGGTTTCACTAATATTTGTTAAATATAGTTATATTCGTCAAGAACAGAGATGATAAAAGAGATGATTCGAATTTGACATATAATATTATTATAATATTATATAATAAGAAAATATACTTAGTCTTTTCACAATCTTCAAAATTCTCATTAATAATAATATTTATTCATTGATATAGATATAGCTTTATCGATAACAAACTTTATATAAAAACTTAAGGAAATCGTATTATAAGACAATGTCCATAGGTATAAGTACATATAAATAATATGATTTTAGAACATTCTCGTTTGTGTTTTTTTTTTCATAGATTTTGTGCGATATTTTTTAGTATAAGTATAGAGGAAAAGAAAGCCTTTTATAGTAACCGTACAAAACGTGGAAGTTATTGAGAGAAACGTGGAAAGAATTTATTAAAAAATCCTCTCTGTTATAGACCAAGCAAGAATAACCCAAAATAATAGGATACAGAGTTGAGCAATTCGTATCCGGTCTCTGTAACTTTCTTCATTCATCCATTCTCAAGATCTATCTTTAACATATTATGAACACCAAACATCTTAAACATTTATATAAATGTCAACTTTGATTAGTACATATAGTCTGCTTATACAGGGTGATCCTTAATGACATACCCAATATTCGATAGGGCGATTCGTTGAACCATTTCAAGAACAAAACTTTATTTGAACGTATGTCGAAAAAGTCCTAACTTTCGGGTTAAAGGGTATCAAAGTTGAAAAGATACATAGAATTTTTTTTTGCTACCCTGTATAGTTTTTTCTGATCGCAAAATCCATTCTGCTATGTGACTGAAACGGTGCCAAAATTCCAAGATTTCCAGTAATGGATGTCCTGAATGGAGTACTCAGCTTACGATTCATATTAAAATTTTTGATTAGCAAAAGTCTGATCTCGTTTTTCCGTTTCCTCTCGGAAACGGAGCATCCTATCCGGTATCAACAAGGGGATCTTTTGTGTATCAAATTGAATTAAGTTAAGACTTTTAGAATATACGTTAGTGGGAAGTGAATCCAGATATGCAATAAAAACCTTGAAAAAATTGATGGAAATAGCCAGTCCGCAACATTTAATTCCAGTCCGCAAATTATTCACACCCAGTTTTTTCTTAAAATTAGTCAAAGAATCACCCCTTTGAATATTAGCATGTATTTAAGGAACACCCTGTATACGTACGTATACTGAGTTATCCATTCGAGTTTATAAAGTTTACAGCATTTCTGGTGAGATAATAAAAGCAAACTTTTACTGGCCATTATTTGATTAGGTTATAAATCGATGAGAAGAAAGTTTCAGATGTTGTAAATCAAATATCAACCTGTCGCACTACAAATTTACGATTTGTTATAATTATCAGCTAAACGAATCGAATGAAAGGTTGCCACGCCTGTCGACAATTGAATTTTGCTTTTGAGCATTTCCATGGAATCAATATCGATATCATATTCCGAATAATTCATTGTTTACATTGTTTGATCTATGGGTAGAATTGTCAGCAGATAATGATGATATTCCTTTGTCTTTGTCACATTATATGCATACAGATACTTCATCATTGTAATTTTCACAATAATTTCAATATATTTTACATGAATGACGATGTATCTATGTGAAAAAAAAAATCCAAACATTGTTTTAGGTGCATCTGCAATATTATCTTATATTCGTAGTATGGGCTTTCGCCTTAAGAAATGTATTTCAACGAATAATAAACAATGAGTTATCACCCTCAACTTTGATTGGTCTATATTCAGAGAGGCTATTGAGAATGAGGAAAAATTATTGTCTCATTTTTGAATGGCAGGGCGTAAATTATAAGCGGAATTTGAAGGTTGCTTTCGAGAGAAGTGACAGTCAGTACGGTATCGGTATTATAGCGTACAGTACGAGTGTGACAGTATGTACATTATAGGTACATTGTCTTTTTTACTCGGGTTTGAGTCTGTGCCATTGTACTATGGTCTGCCTGGGTTTCGTTATCATATCTTGCCAGTGTTTGGTTTCGCTGGCCCCTGATCCGTTTTTACCTGTGAACAACAAATTATCATCAGTTAAATAACCCATAAACCAAAAATATCCGCATAATGAAACATGTCAAGGGCAAAACATATGGGTTCAAGGACTGCATAGAGCTGCATGATATAATTTGTCAGAACGTATTTCATCAGAATGGTATTTAATCAGACTCGTATTCTGACGATATAGGAATTGAACAAAACCGTATTGTATAGGAAAGACAATTCATCAGACTCGTAGTTTGTAGAGTTATCTGTCAGAACGATAATCTATCAGCCACGTGAATCATGATATCAAATAATCCGAACCATAACTTGTCGGAATTGTATTTTGTCAGAACCGTTTACTGTCGAGACAACGTTCGTCACAACATCAACCTTTAAGAATCGTTTTTTAATGATGATGATCTTAAACTGTAACGACGAATTACGGTTCTGATAGATTGATGACTATAGACTGAAGTTTTGACGAGATATGATTCTGACGATTTACTGTTCGCTATGGAGTAAGGTTCTTTTGGATTATTTTTTCTATATCATATGATTCTGATGGAATACCCTCTCGACAGAATGAGGTTATGACGAATTACTGTTGCCATGGAATACCCACGATTCTGATAAATTACTGTTTTGGTCGAATACGGTTTTTATCCAATACCATTTCGATGGATTACATTTTGACGACTTACGTTTTCTTCTTCTTGTCAATAATATTGAAAAACTGAGAACAGTGAAGTGGAGAATGAGGTATTTCAACTTGACAACATTTTGTCAGTTGCCACATAAGCAATTGAATTTTCCTAAAATGAGTACTTGAGATAGTATTAGTGATTCTATTCAATTTGTGCATTATGATAATTAGTCAACTAAATCATAACATCATCCAAACCAAACCATATGAAAAACGCCCTACTGTTAGATGCCTGCATCACATTTTACCCTTTAACTAATATTGAAACTATTGAAATATTGTAGAGTTCAGATTGAATTGAATGTGTACAGCAGTGAATTACTATTGGACTCATAATCTACTACATTACATAGTTATTTAGAATCATCGCATTCCTTGCACCAACTTCGAATGAGAACAATTCAAGGATTTCATAGAGACCTGGCAACAGCGGCGTGCTTTCCAGTTAAATTTTTTCGATAAATATGTGGCCAGGATAACGTTTCCGACTCCCCTTCATGACATCATAGTGAAAAAGGTTAAAGTTTACGATACTGGAAAGGCCCATTGGCCAACATTGTAGAGTACAGTGTGTCCAAGCAAAAGCATCGAAAACTGGACACACTGTACACAACGTAAACTCACCAGCCAGCAGGATCCTGCCGATGAGCTCGTTCCTCCCGATGTTGTCGAAGTCCATCACCATGACGTCGAGGGAGCACTCCCTTATCTTCTCCCAGGGAACGGTGAAGGAGAACGTGTCGTTGAAAACAGGGTTCAGGGTGCATTTGAATATCGCCGTTTTGCGCTTCTCGATGCGCTTGTCGCCGAACTGCAGCCACACCTTCACGTACGGATCTGGAATCGATGATTATCTAGTTAAAAGATGATTGTATTTTTACTGCAACCGACATGAAAGGAGCTACAGTTGAACTTCAACTCCTAACGTATGGTCCGAAAGTTTTGGGAAAAAAATTCACCTGGTTTGATTGAGTGACAAAATGCATCTAATCAAGCAGGCGTGGTAATTGAATGTCACCCGTCTTGTCATCTAAATCAGCAATGCAAAAGTTGTTGGTTTGCGCCACTTTGCGCTTACCAAAATGTCTTATAAAATTGATCTTCGTCGAGGTATTCATAATCTCGTTGGGCGACTGACGAAACGAGAGATTGTCGATATTTTTCAAGATCAGAACATAAGTAAATCGACAATATATCGTACAATTGAAGATTGTGAAGAAGGGATACCATGTATGAACTTGCCAAAAAACGGTCGGCCGCGGGTTTTGAACCAATTAAGAGAGCGGAGACTTATTCAAGCAGCTAAACACAGAATTGGGATCTCACAGCGAAAACTGGCCAGAAGATTTCATGTTGGAAAGACTACGGTGTTTAAGACCCTATCAAGACACAATGTTTTGTTCCGGAAAAGGAGAAAAGCTCCAAAATACACAGAGGCTCAGTTAGAAAGAATTCCAAGATGTTGCCGCGCGTTGAGGCGAGTGCATTTTGCCAACAAGTTGATCGTGATGGCCAACTCTGATGAGATGAAGGACAATGATGGTTTCTACACGGACGATCACGCAAATGTTCCTGACGATGTGAGATTCAAGAGCAAAGAGAAGTTTGAGGACAACATTTTGGTATGGTGTGCCATTTCTTAGGCTGGTTTCATTTCACAGCCCTACATTGGCGTTGTTCGTGGTGAGGCCTTAAATGCAGAGCGATATATTGACAGATGTATTTCTAAATTGCTCCAGTTTTTGAATACAAATCATGCGAATGACGAAATGTTTTGGCCAGATCTTGCTTCATGCCATTATGCGAGAATCGCAAGGGATTGGTATGGGGCTAACAACATCAACTTTGTACCGAAAGTGGACAATCCCCCCAACCTACCTCAGGCACGCCCAATTGAAGACTTCTGGGCAATATTGAGCCGGAAAGTTTACAATAACGGATGGGAAGCACAAAATCAAGAACAACTCCGACGTCGTATATCGGGAAAAATCAGAGAAATCAACGCTGGGGTCGTCCAAAGAATGATGCAACGCGTTAGAGGAAAACTCAGACAGATCGAAGACAACGGTCCCTTGTCGATTATTTGAACTTTAGGTAGTGATAAGAATAGTTAAGAGATATTGTGAGATTATTTGTTGAGATTATAAAAATTTATTTCTAAGAGTTGTCAGCATCTGATTTTTTTCCCAAAACTTTCGGACCATACGTTAGTAACTAAGAAGGATGTACTAGATCCTCAAGAATTTTATTTCCGTATCTGATATCACTACGGGCCTGTTCGTTGGTCATGCTCACCCTACTAAAAAGTGATGTGAGCAATATCTGAATGCAGTCTGATGTTCGTTTGTTCCGAGCAATTGATGATTGCGTGTTGAGTTTGATTGGAGCAAGTTGCCATAGATTACTTGAAGCAGGATTCATTTTCTGGGAGCAGAAGAATCAAATCAGATTGATCAAGTTGGATGACAAATAGAAAACAAAGAAAATGACGAAAAATGCAACAATAATTTATAAATTTGGTAAAAAAGAGTAGGACATAATCCTCGAATAATGCCAACGGTTCTATAATTTTAATCACTTATTCTTTTCTCTCGATCAACATCAACGATCAAAACCTCCAATCAAAACCAAATCAGAAAAAATTCAGAAATTACTCAGACTAGGTAATTTTCAGAAATAATTTGTGCCACTGCTTTGGGTTCGTTTGTGTTGAACAGTAAGTCAAGCTTTCTGTTTGTTTGAGTTGAGCAAGAGATTAATGTTCCTATTGGATCATGAATATTGAATCAGTGACGTCGGATTACGTGATCTTCATGATTTTCTGAGCCTGTTGAGCTTTTCAAAAGCACTGGCGTAATGACTCCATTGTATTATTATTTCAAAATAAACCTCATCGCTCAAGGAATGTCAAATTTCAAGCAATGACAGCTCTGTCGAATAGATGAGCATAACTTGACCGGAAATCAGCTGGCTACAAGACTAAGAAATAAAAAATGCCGCTGTTATCTGTTACAGCCGAAAAAACATTATGGTGTGTATAACTCGCACGGAATGCTAATTTCCCACTCAAATGATTGAACTTCATTCTCGTGGAAAATCACTATCATGCCGTGCCCGTTGAACAATACACTATTGCGACAGTAAATTTAAATTTTTGCGATAATGATGCAGTGCATTTCGTGTACAGAATGACAGTATATAGTTCTACTACTGCTGCTTTAATCAATGTTTTTACGCCGGCGGAAGTAGAAGTTAGTTTCTCTGGTAACAAAAGAGGGGTAGAAGTCTCGAATTATTCCCTAGGGAGATGTGACATATTTTCTCCCTATATAGGGAGTTTATACTAACTTCACATTTTCCGCATAGCTCTGCGCTTTCTTTTCGGAACACCCTTCTCTGAAGCGAGTATAAGGTGCATCATACAGATTTCTAGATCTCACTGGTCTGCAGAAGCAGTACCAATAGTTTATTGGGGGTTTCCCTCGATTTCTTGTTCCATAACCGTTAACCATTGTCAAAGCAGTTTTCATACTACTACTAATTATGACAAAACACTTTGACCAAATATTTATTCCTTCTCAATTTTTGTGTTTTCGCCACCGTAAAAAATAGTAACACCTCAGAACAGAATGCTATTTTTTCCATTTCTGTCCCTTGATGTATAATGTACTATTCCATTTGATGAAATAGTGCAAAATAAGGGTAACCTACTCACCCGATTTGCCGTTGATGTCTTTGGCTTTGAGATTGCGCGCCTTGAGCAGCGTCAGCGTGAGGATGCTGTTGCTCGGATGGTAGCACAAAGAGGTCAGCAATTCGCCGCACTTGTCTTTGGCCGGCGGCTTTAGGGCCTTCCAGAACGACGGCTTCTCGCTCAGGTCCACCTGCACAGTTTGCACAATATTATTATTTGGAGCTAGCTATCCGGCTCGGCTTCGCACAGTTGGTGTACCCATCTATAAAAACTACGCCTGTTCGTTTGTGTTTGCTCTACCTGCTAATAGTAGATTGTTTTATTAGGATCAAAAGTGACACTTTGTTTGACAAGCGAATTTTGCATTTGCGGGGCGGAGCGTTTAGCGAAGCCGAGCGAAAGCAAAATTTGCGAGTCGAACAAGATCACTTTTGATCCGAATGAAACATGCTATTTTTTCTGCAACCGGAAGAATAATCTCAAATGAATATGTGACGTTACCACCAATGCCGTGCCATATAATGCAACAAATATTGACAAATAATCCGTGTCGTGAGAACATTCTACCTGATGCAGGTTCATTCAATTTTCAAGGATTTTCGTATTGTAGTTTCTATATAAATATAACCACAAAATGACATATTTGTATATATGGACCAGGTGCTCTAATGGCAAATACCGCGCCAGTGCCAGCTATAGGAACAAGACGTGGAAAATGTTAGGTTAGTGAGCATATCAACAATAATAATAGCGATTATTTATTCCTCTCCATAATACAATGTTTTTCGCTTGATAATCAAATGAAGGTAAACAATATCGTTGTTTGAGACAAAGAACTATTGCTTGCCGTGATTATTCAAAAACAAGTTATCCATCCCGAGAATAACGAATGAAATACTGATCCAGCAAGTATTTGAATCTTGAAGGCTTCCCTGATCAAAACAAAAATACTCAACTGAGATGTTTATAATTCCAATACTTAACTATAATAAGGTGTATTTATATCTCCAGCATGGGTATGAAATGCCAAATCTGCTGAAATCGGAAACAAATCAGGTATGCGTCTCAACCCAAATAACCAACAGTCACAATGTTGTTTATTCTTGATGACGTCCAGTACATCCTTTTTAGTTCCTAGGAGCTAAAGTTCGACTTTAGCTCCTAGAAACTAAAATTCAACTTTATCTCCTAGGAACTAAATATGTTGCCTAGCAACATACCTATTTTTGTGTCAGTAATAGAAACGTCAATTCAAGAGCTAATTTTGGTATAGCAATGGACGACTTTTGTGTCGGTTGCAGAAAAACTTGATTTTTTCTATAGGTGTGTTTTGTTGACGCTAACCTAGTTCTGTAACAGCTATCCCATGCGTTTTCTTGACATATTCATGAATTCGCGCCAACAATTTCAAAATTTATTCGCTCTGGCTGCTCGATATATTTCGATCGAACAGAACGACGGAATAAGATGATAAGAAGGGAAATCGAATAAAATGGCCGAATTGAATATTTTTATGATTTTTAAGGTTATTCAGGTTATCGTCCTTCGGATTTTCTGACCCAAAAACTAGTCAGTGAAAATAGGGGACTTATATTACGAAGGTATATATGGTATTTGTGATTAAATCGGACAAGAGTTATGCCGCAGCCAGAAGGATTTTTTCATTAAGGATTCGTGGATTCAATAAATTATCATTTTCAATAAGGTTCAGTATATCTCCTCGTCGTTGAATCCATGCCAAGAATGCTATTACATGAGAAAGCTCATTCATATTTCATGTGCTGAAAATTTTCAAAATTTCATCACAATTTTGAAAAGTAAGGTTACCAACATGAAATTGTCATTCTACGGTTAATTCCGTTTTCTTGTACAACCATTCTATTCTATTCCACATGTTATTAACAAAACGAACCTCATGACTTTCTCTGTTTACAATACATCATGCCATGAACAGAGACAACGATGGAAACGGAATCAAATTCAGCAACACAAACGAACAGACCTAATATGACATTCGTTGCAGTCGTTCTGAGTTATGCACACATCCACAGTACACATTTTCTTGTTACTTTCTTTGATATTTTTCCTTAGCTATAGGTAATAATATAATATCAGGCGAGACAATAGATAGTTTTTCGCCGACCTCAAACACTTATATTCACATTAAGGTCCTATTCACACGTGACATCTCTCGGATTCCGTGCATAATTAATTCAACAATAGCAAATAACAATTGTGAAACACTCTCCGCGCATACCAGGGTTGCCAATTCCATTTTGATTCGGGTGTAACATTCAAAAATTCATATAAGTTGCCCATACATTTTCTTGAGACATCCAACTGTTTTTTTGTTAACGAATATATAATCTACAGGAACAATTAAAAGAGACCCCTAAACAAATTTATCAGGTAATAAAAAAGTAAAGGGAACGTTCGAAATATACCTACCTGAAAACCCTGTACAAGAAATTGATCGTTAATGAACCCTATCAACAGTACTAACGATCAATTTGTCTATTAACGAACAATTGTGATATAGGCAACCGAACATACAACGCGTAGTTCCACTGTTGGTATGATAACTTACGGAATCTGCATCTCAATCGAAAATATAGAGTTAATCGGAGATTTTACGTTAACGGATTAGATTTTCAAAGATTTTCAACCGATTTCAATCCCTATTCTCTATGTTGATAATTTCGACGATTGTCAAATGTCAGTGATGTCGATGACGAATAAACTCTCATGACTACTGAGTGATTATTAGTAGTTACCGGATAAATAATCAATTCGCGAACCACATTTTCATTATTGCAGAAGAAATAGTTGCCGAAACTTTTCGAGAAAGTCGCAAAGTTTTGCTCGTAATGTAGCAGCTAGACACTCATTTATTCTTTCTGTGAAAGATACATCACGCAAACCTTACAAAAGTTTCAAAGCTACACGCAAAAAGTTGTAATTAGAATAATCTTAAAATTTTATAGGATGAGCATTCACCAAAATATAGAAAACGTTTTGGAGAAGGCGCAGTTTGGTTGTATTGAACCACTTTTTCCGGTCGAAATAGTGTTTGAATAGGTTTTATCCCCCAAATCATTGATATTTCTATCAGGAAGTTCCACATCCTGTGCTTTCTCCCTTGATTGAAGAAACAAGAATTTTGTTTGCAGGCAAGTAATGTCCAATTATCAACGCCCACCATCATTTTGAAACATTTTTCACTCCTCCCATGTATAGATTAAGAAAATTAAATTCATAGCGATACACATATCTGAGGACATAATTTATTCAATCCGAAGTTTCTACATTTTATTCATATTCACTTTTATTCAATATGAAATATCAAAATTGATAAATAGAAAATTTACAACACGAAATAATTATGTAGATCAATTTCTTTGATTATTTGCATATTCTCAACTATCAGTTGAACTTTGCCATCATCATAATGATTCGAAATAACAAGATATTTTCAAATGGAAAACTCGTGCCCACCTAATTTTGATAAAAACTCCAACTCCAGAATCCGAATGTTTATTTTATGAAGATTAAACATACAATACGATATACATAATTATTGAAATATCATACTGTATTAGAATTTCATTTACTTTGTTTAAATATTGTCTTCTCATCAAGATACCTATTACATGGGTAACTATGGATTGTTTTTCGATATAAAAAAAAAATAAAAGTGTTGCTTTTCGGTGTTGGTCTTTCGAAATCAATTCTCTCTCCACTGCTAATTCCTCAAAAGGTTATGGGCCCAGATCACTATTAGTGGGGTACAAGAAGGAAATTTCAGCATTCGAGTATATCATTTCGTCGATTTCGTTCAGTAGAATCAATCTGCCAAGAAAAATATTGACATTGTCACATCAAATTTATTCCTTGGATTATCCTGTGAAAAATATCTTGAAAATAAGGTGAAAGGATGGACAAACTCAAAAGCTTCAGTATTCAGAAGTTCAACGGCGGAAATTTCCAGTTATGGAAATACCAGTTGGAGATTATATTTCGAGCTGAGGGTGTGACGAATTTGATCAACGGGAAAATTCTTCGACCAGAAGAAACAGAAGATCCGAGAATCAAGAAAGAATGGGAAGATATGAATGCCAGAGCTATGCTCATCATATCAACCTCCATGGAGTTCGAACAGCTACAGACCATCATGACTTGTGATACAGCTGCAGCCATGTGGAATCGGTTGAAGATTATCCACGAACAACGTTCAGCGGTTAATAAAGTGATGTTGAAACAGCAATTCTTCAGCTATCATATGTCAGAAACAGACACTATTGCTCAGCATATCAGTAGAGTGGAATCTATGGCCCAAGCTTTATCTGACGTTGGTGAAAAAGTATCAGATATTGACAAAGTAGCCAAAATTCTAGGCAGTTTACCTTATAAATATAGGTCTTTCGTCACTGCTTGGGATTCTTACGATGAATCTAAACAGACATTCGATAACTTGACTTCACGTTTACTGAAAGAAGAATTGAGATTCACTCAGGAAGACCAGTTATCAACTGCCTTTGCTTCAATGAAGATGAGTAACTCAAGGTTCAAAAATGATCCATCTGCTCCTAATGGTAGCTCTGGATCTGGTGATGCAAACTCCAAAACAAAAATCAAGAAATGTTTTTATTGTCACAAATTAGGACACCTAAAAACAGAATGCAGAAAACGGATGAAGAAATATGGGAGCAATATCAATCAGGCTAGTTCACAGAAGAATCTCGCTTTGAGTGCAGAAGCAAAGAACATGGTCGTCTCAGGTTGTGAGGATATTTGGCTCGCTGACAGTGCAGCTTCAAAACATATGACTTCTAAAAAGGAATGGTTTTCAGTGCTGAAACCATTGAAAACTGAAGAAGCCATTCAAATAAGCGACGGTTCTCTAATCCACGCAGAAGGTCCTTGTCAAAGCCCTAGTAGATGGAAAGCAAGAACCAAGAAGTCTCGAGAACACGCTGTATGTTCCAAACCTAGGGAAGAATCTGTTTTCGATAGGAGCAATCACCAATCGAAACTACGAGGTGTTTTTCAACCAAAGAGGCATTGAAGTTAGAAATGAAGCTGGTCTGGTAGTTGCAGGAGTCAAACAGGCAAACCAATGCTACAGAATGTTATTCGATGTAGAAATCCCTGAGGTCATTCAAGGAAATGCTGCTGAAACAACTTCCGTCA